TGTCATATATATCTGTCATATCATTATTATTAGTATTATTAGTATTGTTATTCGTATTACTATTATTATTATTATTAGTAGTAGTAGTAACAGAAATATTTCACCACCATTTCAGCTGCTGTAGCAAAAGCATTTCTCATCTCTTAATCACATTCTCAGCCGAAAAGTACAATGACGTAATCAAAGTACGACCTAAAGACCAGAGACGTAATCTTTAGGAGACCATTTGTTTATATCATGGCGTCGGTGGATTTCAGAGGTAGCTAAATCCATTATATTCTTTTTTTTAGATGTGCAGTTTAATTAGTATAAAAATCTCATGTTATTTATAACTTCGAAACAGCGCCTTGATTGTTTTTTTTCTGCAGCTTCAAGCTTATTCGTCTGTGCTGCAAGAAAATCTGTTAACGAGTAGCGTCTCCTTCGCTTTTTATTAGCATATCGGCTAGCATAGCTTATGCTGTCTGCCAGAGCCTTAGAATGACTTTTGGTGGTGGTTACAACAGAAAACAACTTCAAGTCATTGTAGCCTTCAGTTTTTCCAGTATAGTGGGTTATTCATCCTTGGTAAAGTGATGTCTGCATTATTGGTAATATGGACGCTGCTCACTGGTCCGTTTAGCTGTTCCGAGTTATATTTATTCATTATCTCTATTCATGTATCCTAACATCTGATAGATATACTGGCAATAGAGAAGCATATAAAAGATTAAGCTATATTATGTAGTTTGATTTTATTTGATATAAAATCAAGAAATACAAATAGCTGCTCTGTTTGAGCATTATTTCGGATCTGTTGAGGAACTCGGCTCTCACAAAAGGCGGGTTTCACAGTGAGATAAGTCATCTGTTAATAGAGTGTCTTGTTATTACCTGAAATAGAACCTTTTATTATCAAAAGCCTAATCATGTTAATCAGGAAACCAGAATTACCGTCATGTTTCCTTCATAAACATTTGACCCATTTTCATTATCAGGTTGTGTTAATACTGACTCAGTTCCTCAGTTATATTCATACCCCCCCCCCCCCCCCCCCCCCAACACACACACACACACACACACACACACACACACACACACACACACACACACACAGAAACACACACATGCACACAAAAAGAAGGCATCTCTATAGTTGTTTAACAAGACATTTTCATCAATAAAATGCTATCAGTATTGACAATATCCATGTCAAGCTGAGATGTGATTTCATCCCTAACATATAAATGCACTCACAGTTATTTCTCAGGCAGCATCATTTAATAATATAATTTCATAAATTGAATGCTTGTTTAATTTCCAGATAACCTTCTCGGGATATCCTGGGTGGACAGCAATTGGGTACCAGGTCTTAATCCTGGAAATGTGCTGGAGTACTTTTCTGACAGAAGCAACCCTTTCTATGACCGTACCTGCAATAATGAGGTAGTGAAGATGCAGCGGCTTACCGTGGATCATCTGAAGTAAGTTTGTTTTATAGATGGAAATTTGATACAGAGCAGTGAAAAGGTTTTTAAACATATTACATTAAGTATTATGAAGGGAGACATTCTGATCAAAATCATATTGTCAAGTAGAGCCCAAACGCATACACACACAGACAAGTAATACTATTATAATATTGCCACATCTGCCGATTTGTGAAAACATTGCTTCTGTCTCATTTACAGTCAGATGGTGGGAGTTGAATACATCCTTCTTCATGCTCAGGAGCCAATTCTTTATATAATCCGTAAACAACAGAGGCAGTCACCGACTCAAGGTGAGTTCCAAACACTCAAGCCGTTATTTGTTAGATTTGTAAAGTCTTCATTTCACATCAGTTGAATTTCTGCTTCTCTGTTCATACTACAGTGGTTCCCTTGGCTGATTACTACATCATAGCTGGAGTCGTGTATCAGGCTCCAGACCTGGGAACAGTTATCAGCTCTAGAGTGGTAAAAATATTCATTGTAATTCTGTAAAAGATAGGTTTGTGTAACATTGATTAAAAAAAATCAGTGTTATTTATATTAATCATATCTGTTTTTAGCTTTCCGCTGTACATGGAATCCAGTCTGCTTTTGATGAGGCCATGTCCTATTGTCGCTATCACCCATCCAAGGGATACTGGTGGCACTTCAAGGACCATGAGGAGAGAGGTAAGCAGTTTGGCAGTTTACAATTTAGATGTTAAAGTTCTGATTATCAGTTATGTGATGTGATCACAAACACTAGCAACAAAGAAGGAGCCAGAACCTGTTTTCCTTGTTTATTTAAAATAATGACTTTGACAGAAAGTGATTAACATGAATCTCTTATACAGAAAAAGCCAAACCAAAGACTAAGAAGAAAGAGGAGCCTAGCTCTCTGTTTCAGAGGCATCGCGTTGACACACTCCTTTTGGACCTGAGGTCAAAATTTCCACCAACTTTCTATCAGGTACTGTCAGCTATTGTCCAGTTTGTTCATTTGAATTTTGAGTCTAAGAGGAGTCAATCGTATTGATTTTGTTTTGCTTTTCTCTGAACTTTTAGCCTAAGCCTGGTGAGAAGCCCATTCCAGGTATGATATTTAAAACTGTTTTTTGTTTATAGATCATTATGATATATAATAAGAGTCTATCAGGGTCTGTCTGGAAGTGCTTAACACTCTGCAGATTACTAATATGTTAATTTATTTTCATATGTGAAGCATTGCTTTTACTTTCAGAATTGAATTCATGTTGTTTGATTAAACTAAAAGAAAATCAATTAGTTTTTCTGCTGAATATTTCAATTTTAAAATCAGTTAAGTTTCGTTTTTAATGTCTGTCCTTCAAGGCCAAATTCTTGAGTTTACTTTTAACTACAGGCTTTTGTTTTGCAGTTGAGGTGAAAAAGGAACCTGAACCTCCCACAGAAACAGTGAAGCAAGAGGAGAGGGAGCAGGCAACCAAGTCCTCTGCCCCAGCTCCACCTAACAAACCACCTCCTGAGAAAAGGGCAAGACTGCAGTGACAGCCATATTTGTCAGACACTGGGAAGGTTGCGCACAGCTCTGCAGTCCTACATCACTCACTGGGAAAATGACTTGAGACATTTGTGTTACCTCCCCAACTCTCTGCTTATTTGATCAATTTTTAGAATACTGAAAATAAAAGGAGTCAGTTGTTTATGTAAGTGCTGAGACTCCTTTTACGCTGCAGCATTAGTCCTGTGCCCTTGATAGGCTTCAAGCAGCTGTAGCACAAACAAGCAATTTGAAGTGGGGGAGGATTTTTTTTTTTGATGATGATAAGCTGACATCAGCATCGGTGTCAGCTTACTGTCAACATCATGCTAATGGTTCTGTTGTAGTGACTTCAGAGGATCATTTAATTCGCTATCTGCTTTACAAACAAGATGTGTCATCTCATCTGCCAAGCAAATGGCCTCTTGACCCGAACATGGCTTGTTCGTTTCAGACACTTTCATCTCCTTCGGAAGAAATGTCCTGCTTTTGTATGTTTTTTTTAATATACATTAAATGGTATTGATTAATGTGTTCTGATCTGTTTAATTCTTAACATTTAACAGGCTTCACATTTATTTGATCCGTTTTTCTTCTGTTTTATTTCAACCTGTGATTAAGATTTGCTGCACTATAGCGTTTTTCCTGTCTTGCGTCAACCCTGAATTCTTTATATCATGCTACTTTGGATGATGGCTGCCTTTTGTTCTGCTCCCTGTCAAGATGATCTCACACTGCGTCATCTGGTTTCTGGGGATTTTGTTGTGTGTTTTGTGTGACACTTTACACTTTTACTTATTGGAAGCAAAATGTAAAGAAATGAGGGGTGGAATTTTGCACATTACTGTATCTGTGCCTGATTCTTATTAATCTCATGATCTGAGTTCATGGGTGGTTGTAGGTTTATTCATTCGTCCCATTTTGTACCTGATTACACTAATTTTGAAGGATTTGTGATAACTGGCAACGAGTCCTTCACATTTCTGTGGATTTTTGAACCACTCTTCACCACAACACAATCAGAGCTCAACTTGCTGGTGTGTTTCAGGTCATTGTCTTACTGTATTAGTCAAGTACGCTTGAGCTTTGGTGCACAAACTGGCTGGACATTCTCCTTCAGGATTTTCTGGTATAGCGCGGAGTTCATGGTTCGATCATTACAGGAAGCCGTTCTTTAGATATGCTGCATTCTTTTGTGACCTGGATGAGTCATCAAACCCTTAAAGTAATTTTGGTACCTCAGCCACTCCTGGGAAGGTCCACCGATGTTCCAAGTTTTTTCCATTTGTGAATGATGGCTCTCACTGTGGTTGGCTGGAGTTTCTAAGCCTTTGAAATATCTTTGTAATCCTTTCCAGGCTGACAGATATCTGTGACTTTGTTTCTCAGTTGTTCCTTTAGATCATGACATGATATGTTGCTTTTTAAGATCTTTTAACCTACTTCAGTTTGTCAAATATGTTTTATTTTGGTGATTTCTAAATTCGTCAGGTCTGGCTGTAATCAGACCTGGGTATAAGTAGTGAAATTGAACAAAAAAATGTGCAGTTAATTCATGATTTAACAAAAGGCTTCTTACTTTTTTACAACACCATATATATTAAAAGTGGTTGGAGGTCACCCCACCTTGACTAGTTACCACAGAAAAACAGACATGCCATATTTCACCATGTGGGACCAGGATTTTTGTTAATGGGAGAGGATTCGCGTACCATTTTGCATCCTTAATGTAGCAGGTATTTTTTTTAACCGACAGGTGTCGCCATTTAGTCATATTTAGTATAAAGCTCCATATATGTGGCTGATTTTTAAAATTTTATTTCATACGTTTATGCTCTCTGCCATCACCCTGTTGAGTCACAATCAAATAAACGTGCCTACTCACTGAAAAATATAATTTTCCAATAAGGAGAGCGAGTGAAAACCAGAAGGGTGAAGGCACAAAGCTTATACGTATGGTCTTATATTTAGTGTAAACAGTACCGATGCCACGAAGAAGAACTTCCTCGCAGGGCGTGGTGGGATAGCAGTCTTCCTCAGTGGAGGACTGAACAGTGCCCCAGCTGGCTGGCTAGCTGCAGAGAGAAGATGGCTGCAGAGGGGATTTTCAGGCCAGTGTCTGAAAACAGAGCGCCGTTTGTCATGTTGAACGACGACTAGCCCCAGCGTGTCACCCCGGTTGTTGTGTCGGTCGGTTCCGCCTGGATTCGTCGGAGGGGATAAAACAACATGGGGTCGCAGACTTTGCAGATCCTGAGGCAGGGGGTCTGGGCTTCAATCACAGGCGGATGGTACTACGACCCCGATCAGAATACGTTCGTCAACGCTTTACATCTATACATCTGGCTCTTTCTGCTATGTTTCCCCTTCACGCTGTACATGGTGAGCCGCTTTGTCTCCTTTTTATTTTATTTTATTTTATTTATTTTTACCTCATAGACTGGTATTTCTTTATGTATTTGTCATGACTGTTGACAGCTTAAGTTAACCAAACCAACTGTCCGTTAGGTTAGCAGCCACAGCTCACTAACGGTCGGTCTCGGTCTATTATCTGGAGCGAAGACAACGTACACTAATATTAAACTAAGAAAACGGAGTGGAATATTTGAAGTATAGTTGAATTATCCAAATTATCCATTAAGCAAAAGCATTTCTTAGCAAATAAACCTTATTCTGGTGGAGACGTTAACAAAAGAGCCTTTAACTCCTTCAGGTTTCAGTCTACTGTCCATCAACTAGATCGTACCTAAACGCTCTTTTGTTCATATTCTGTGTTTCGGTTAAGGTCCACTTGGATATTTACACTGTGTGAGGCTGTAATCAGTGAATTTATTTTCCCTTCCCCCATCTTTATCTATTTGTTGTCCTCCGGTCGGCAGTGATTTTCGGTATCACCAGTTTTCAGAAGCTACCAGCTGTGACTGTAGGGGCACAGTTCACAAGGATGTTAGCAGTGATCTTCCCCGTGTAAAAGCCCAGGAATCAAAATCATATAGCTGAGAGCTGCTTGTTCAGTTTTTTCATCTCAAAATGTCTTTGTTTGCGGGTTTCCTAAACGGCTTTACTTTCTTAAGGTGCTCTTTTCTGTGGCACGTCAATAAAAGGTTGCTTGCCAAACTTTATGTCCTGCACACATAAAATGCACATTTATAACTGCTGACGTGATTATGAATGTCTGTGTGCTCACTTCTATATAAAGAAACTGGGGTGTTTGAAATAGGTTTGTGGTTTCCTTTCTATTCCTGGAGTGGAAATGCTTTGGTCAGCTCTGTGGTTTATATTGAGCCGCAAGTTTGAGTTGCGCTGCTGCTGTTTGTGAGAGCTACAAGCAGATGCAGGAGGATATCTCAAGGACAAGAGAGAGCCTAGAGCCCATCTAGTCACCTCTTTTTGTAATAGCCTCCTTGTCAGCTGCACTAAGCAGACATAAAATTCATAATCAAATCTTAAGACACTGCAGATGTGTCATAAATAATTGGGACAATAGGTGCAATAATGTAATTATCTTTTTTAGCTGCATTTAGCAGAGCTCATTTTCTCTGTGGCAGTGCTTGGTTCCAGTTCACGGGTTTATAAATGATGTGTCATGTCTGAATGTCCAAATTGAATCAACATCACTCCTGGGCTGCTGAGATAAACACAGGAAAGAAAATGGATATAAAATGCTGTAACATGGGTAAAAATGAAACCGTTAGAGGGTTGTCTATGTAACCTTTTTCCCTACTTCTTCCTCTACTTCCAGGCCCTACCGCCAACCATGGTGATAGTGGGAATCTACTGTGGTGTGATTGCTGCCATGTTCCTGCTGCTGAAGACGGTGAATTACCGCCTCCACTATGCCTTGGATGAGGGGGAGGTGGTGGAGCATCAGGCTAAGGAGAATCAGGGGAGCAGAGGTGGCACAGAGGGGGCTATTGATGGAGGCGTGACCCGAAGGGAGGACAGCAATGGCCCAGGGTAAGTTCACGTTATAGTCTGTTGGCGGATTTACTATCTGGAGATGGAGCACTGTAGTGCACAACTGATAAAATATTCTGTAGAGGATGTGCAAGATCATTAAGCAGAAATAAATCGCATTGTAAGATAAGCAGTGTTGGGACTACCGCGTTATTAAGTAACGCGTTACAGTAACTACGTTATTATTGTGGTAACGAGCACGGTAACTAGTTATTATGCCAAAATCAGGAACGCATTAGTCGTTACTGGGATTTAGATAGGGTCGTTACTCGTTACTTCGTGTGGTGGCTATCGCGGAGCTTCCACATATTCAGTAACATTAGCAAGTGGTGGAGGCCAGCAGGTGGATGAGAGAAAGGGGAGGCAAGAGGAGAGACCCGAGGCGGCCGCCGGTCCGAGTGTGAACTGAACTTCAGGTAAGAAGTTATGACCTGCAGTCTCTCTGGGTCAGATATAAACCAAGTTTAGGTGGAGTTTATTTTCGTTATTCTGACTTTTTCCGTACTGGGTACTAGCTAGCATGACGGAGTTTCTATACAGCTGGGTGGGTGCTATGATGTTACTGATGTTGAACTTTATTTTGTTCACAAGGTTAATTATTAGAGTTGCCAACCGTCCCGTAAAAAACAGAATCGTCTCATATTCAGAGAAAATATCGCGCGTTTCGTATTGAGGTGAAAAGGAACACAGTTTGTCCCGTACTTCAGCTACAATGAAAAAGACACAAAGCTGGAGCTGTACAGCTGCCTCTTCTTCTCTCATCCGCTCACCCTCCTTCTCCTGTTTCTACTTCAATCATGAAAACTGATCAATGATCAGCTGATCGGCTTTTCTCTCTTGTTTGTTTATCACCCACTTTGCGCCAGAAAGAGGAAACCAGCGGAGGTCGCATTAAACAACAGCAGCACGACAACAGCTGATCAAGCACAAGCTTGATCAGCTGTTGTTAGAATTTATTCAATATTAATTTCTAGTATCAGCTGATGTTTGCTGGAGCCACAGCTGTAAAAGCTGCTGGTCATGTTATCGGTTTGGTCATCTGGTGAGAGGGAAACATGAAGATGAAACCAGGAGATGTCCTTACTGAATCATCAGAGCTGTGATGGAGAAACAGGTTGACCTTTTAGGTGACATGAATGACTTGAAGGGAAGTTATGAACTGTTTCTGAGAGACAAATAACACCAGGATCCTTTTTTAGGTAGCTGACAGCTGGTAACTGTGCAGGGGCGGATCTAGCAAAGTTTTGCCAGGGGGACCAGGTAGGGCATTAACAGGGAGAGGGGGGCACAAAGAAGTACTTTTCTTTCTTATTCTCATTTAAAATGTCTAGCTTTTAAAAAATAATTATCTGAGTCTTACAACAAACGATTGATAGATTGATACATATATACCATCAGAACAGTGTACATCACTGTCACAACAGCGTTTGTTTTCATTCAAAGGCTTTATGATTTTTCCTATAATGGCGGGCTGGTCTCTAGTCAAAATGCCCGGGCCAATTTTCAGTCCCAGTCCAGCCCTGTATGCAGCTCATCTGCAGTCTGGTGTTGCCTACATCTTCCTATTCAGAAGGCAGAATTTCCGAGTTCTGAGTACAATCGAAAGCACCACAACTGCAGATTTTGTGTTGGATGTAAAAAGCGCACATGACGCTGTGACGTACGCTAGAATCATGGCAGCAGTCAATGACTGTCCAGGCGTGGGATTTCTCTCGTGGAAATATTCACATTATTTTTTTCTTTCTATTGGTAGGTGGCACAGTGCACTTGTGGCAAGTAAGCAAGCTAGAAGACTGGCAAAGTTATGGAAGCAACACATTAACAAGAGAATTCTGAGTAAAACCAAAGTTACTTTCCCTAGTAACTAGTTACTTTGAAAGTAATGAGTAACTTGAAGTAACTGAGTTACTTTTGATACAAGTAACTAGTAATGTAACTAAGTTACTAATTTAAAGTAACTTACCCAACACTGAAGATGAGTGATCAGAAAGTGTGACTGACTTTAAGTGATCAGTCACTTCATGTGATCTGTCATTGTCTAATGGAGCTGAGGAAGGAGGTCTAGAGTAGTGATGACTCTGGAAAACACACAAGTTACTCAAAGGTTAGCTGGGTAGCTGCTTTAGGGTGACTTCAAATTATTAAACCATACATGCTGACACCACTTCAGGAAGTTACTTTTAAACAAACTGTTTAGTGACTTTTAATTTCTCCTCAGCTAAAACATCTGTTATGTGGCGCTGTTCTAAAAACCATTGCAGAGTTTTCTGTCCGTCTCAATAATATTGCCAACACTTACGTTTAGATTCATCCAGAACTATTGTGTTTTTCTTTAAAGTTTAACAAATGTGTTGGATGCATTTTCTGGGCCATAAATTTCTATGAAGCTGATTTTTTATTTATTTATTTATTTTTAATTCTGTCTGTAAAACTAGTGTTACTTACATTAGCAGTCTGTTTCATCCCCTCCATTTTCTGGTTCATTTGTGTGTTGGTTTTGTTTTGGCACACTACCAGCACTTGTAGGCCAGTGAAGTGGCGTGAAAGTGTTGGCAGGAAGATTCATCATGTCTCCCACATGTTTGCTTTAAAGTACAAACCAAACGAGGGAGTACTCCTTAAAGGGAAAAAGAAAAACCTCCAGAAGGCTACCAGTTGACAAAAAATAGAGGTTTTACAGTTATTGCCATGTGCTTTACACAGCATGCACTGGGTTTTATTACTTCTTTTCCTCCCAATTTATTGGATCTGTCATATTGGCAAAGCTCTTGAAGCAAGCGTCATTATTCAGCAGCCATCTTGAAATGCTTTCAGGCACTTATTTGGTTAGTTATTTTGAAGCATTATCTTATTTAAATGTAATTTCAGTGTTCACAGTGACATAAACTAAAAAGATGTTAAGATTATTTCTCATTGGCCACATAAATCTACACTTATCTTTAACAGTACAGGTGTATATGTGCTTTCAATTAATCCCTACCTTTTGTGGGGATACGTTTCATCAGTGTTAATACTAAGAAACAGTAGTACATTGTAGGAGTACACTTACTGACCACTTTGTTACTAGTTAAAAATGCCTTGTTGGTGGCAGAGTTAAGAGGAGATAAAGAAAAATCAACATGAACTACTAACATAACCACTAATTGACCAAGGTATGCAGAAGAGCATCTCTGTACACACAACACTTTGAGCCTTGAAACTGATGGGCTACAGCAGCAGAAGACCACACCAAGGCCCAATCTGGTTGGCTGTGAACAGGAAACTGAGGCTAGAATTTACACAAGCCCACCAAAATTGGAGAACAGATGATTGAAAAACTTAACCTAGTCTGATTAGTCTCAATTTCTCCTGTGAGATTCAGCAGATGGGGTCAGAATTTGATGTAAAAACCACTGATACATCCTAACTTGTATAAGTGGTTTTTGGCTTGTGGTGATGGTGTAATGGTGTGGGGGATATTTTTCGGGCTCCTTAGTACCAGTTGAGCATTATTTAGCTGCCGCATGCCAGGTTTCTGACATTAGGTTTAGCTCTCATTCACAGTGAACAAAAGCCACTGAGGTTTCAGCCTTTTACTGCAAATGACTTGAAGAAGTGACTCATACTCACATTCCAGAAGCAGTGCTTAGCAGGATGCTGGGACAGGGGAGAGGCAAAAAAAAAAAGAGAATGAGACCTCTCAACCAGTCATAGCTTTGCCCACACATCTGGAACAGCATTCCAGGTTGTTTGAGTTTGCAGTGAAGCCGACAAGCTCAGATGACATTCATTAAGGTGTTTTTTCTTCTCCTTCTTCTTCTTTATTTCCTCTTCCACCACCAACTCAATTTCCCCACTTCCTGCTCCATTTTTTCCAGTATTTTTTTTTTTGGTGCTACATGTTGTGGTTGATTTTTTTAAGTGTTGTTTTGTGGTCTGACCTGCTATGATGCAGTTTTGGCATATGGAAATGATTTATATCCCTGGCAAGTTGTTTGTTTCTACATACCATCTGGTTAAATAAGCACGTCTGGGCTAAATATAGACCCAGAAAAAAATCATGGATGCTTTCATCTGTTTTCTCTCTGTGGAATTTCAAAGCCTGTGCAAAATATTTAAAATAAAGGCCTGTTTAAGAAGTTCACTTGGTGTGTTTTCCCTAAATTGAAGCTGCTGCCATCTTCTTTCTGTTTGACTGAAGGAGATAAATGGCATGTAACAGGGCTGAACAATCTTGGTGAACTCAGTAGTTTCCATCGATGTGCATGTGTTTGTGTGTCTGCAAAGGGACCCTGGAGGGGGTATTGAGATGGCAGACTTCATCCGACAAGAGACTCCACCAGTGGACTGCAGTTCCAGGAACTCCTATATTGGGATGGAGTCTAACCAGCAGGTAAGCAGAGCACTGGCCTGCTGTACACTGTGTTCCATAACTAGCTGAAAATAAAAGGATCCTGATTGTCAAGTCCCTTTGCCCCCTGTATTACTTTCTGCAGACCTTTCATTAGATTTATATTTAATAGCTTGCTGATCTTCAATGTTCCTACCAGCTGTTTATTCAAATCCAAGTTAATACATGTTGCGGCTTATTATGATAACCTTTTAGATTCTAGCTTGTACAGCATATTTTGGACATTTTTCAATCTAAACAATTAACAATTCCAGGTTTCCACAGGAAAGTTGTTACATATGATGGCTGCAGAAAGTGTTGCTGCCAAGTGGGAATACAGTGCAATGTTGCACTCAACTCATGTAATACTGTCTACTGCTATAAAGCAAATCACTAATTGTGTGGCGTTATATTCAAGAGAAGGGAGACAGCAGGGAGTTTATTTCCTATTTACAGCATGGGGAAAGCAATGTGTTTATGCACCAGTATAAGTGCACCGCATCGCAGCTGAGCTTGTTTACATTTCATTGAATGATAAAAGAAATAACCACAGAAGCAGCAGAAGCACTACTTTCCTAACGGTCCCAATAGTGAATTTTGAACAAGGGTTTTCAGAACATGCCTGTTTCTGATATTGAATGTACATACTTTTTCTACAGATTGTCTTATTGTTATCTGTATTGTGCTTCTAGTAAGCAGAGCTATTTAGCAGGGCATGCTAAGATCCATCCATCCATCCATCCATCCATCCATCTTCTTCCGCTTTATCCGAGGCCGGGTCGCGGGGGCAGCAGCCTAAGCGGAGAAGCCCAGACCTCCCTCTCCCCAGCCACCTCCTCCAGCTTATCCGGGGGAACACCAAGGCGTTCCCAGGCCAGCCGAGAGATATAATCTCTCCAGCGTGTCCTGGGTCTGCCCCGGGGCCTCCTCCCGGTGGGACATGCCCGGAACACCTCACCCAGGAGGCGCCCATGAGGCATCCTTGTCAGATGCCCGAACCACCTCAGCTGGCTCCTTTCGATGTGGAGCAGCAGCTGCTCTACTCTGAGCCCCTCCCGGATGGCCAAACTTCTTACCCTATCTCTAAGGGAGAGGCCAGCCACCCTTCGGAGGAAGCTCATTTCTGCCGCTTGTATCCGCAATCTCGTTCTTTCGGTCACTACCCACAGCTCGTGGCCATAGGGTGAGGGTAGGGACGTAGATCGACCGGTAAATTGAGAGCTTCGCTTTTACACTCAACTCTCTCTTCACCACAACAGACCGGTACAGCGTCCGCATCACTGCAGCTGCAGCACCAATCCGTCTGTTGATCTCCGGCTCCCTTCTCCCATCACTCGCGAACAAGACCCCGAGATACTTGAACTCCTCCACTTGGGGCAGGAACTCATCCCCGACCCGGAGTGGGCACTCCACCCTTTTGTGGCTGAGGACCATGGCCTCAAATTTGGAGGTGCTGATCCTCATTCTCGCTGCTTCACACTCAGCTGCGAACCGTTCCAGTGCGAGCTGGAGGCCATCACCCGATGAAGCCAACAGAACCACATCATCTGCGAAAAGCAGAGATGAGATTCTGAGGCCACCGAAGTGAAAGCCCTCTAAGAAGGCTGGGTACTCTGAACTGTCACTCGGCGCATAAGCGCAGATGACAGTCAGGACCCAATGACAGTCAGGACCCTGGGGCGCAGGGAACAAACCCTCTCATCCACCGGGAAGAACCCCAACATACAGGCAGCAAGCCGAGGGGATATTAGAATACCCACCCCAGCCCGCGGCCTCTCACCAGGGGCAACTTCAGACTGAGACAGAGTCCAGCCCCTCTCCAGGAGACTGGTTCCAGAGCCCAAGCCATGCGTAGAGGTAAGCCCGACTATGTCTAGCCGGTACCTCTCAACCTCACACACTAACTCAGGCTCCTTCCCCACCAGAGAGGTGACATTCCATGTTCCAATTGCCAGTAGCTGGGGATCAGTCCGCCAGGGCCTCCACTCCTGGCCGCCGCCCGGCACACAATGCACCCAACCCCTAGGGCGCATCCTGCGGGTGGTGGGCCCGCAGGAGGGTGGGCCCATGTCCCCTTTTCGGGTTGTACCCGGCCAGGCTTCATGGACTAAGGCCCAGCCACCAGACGCTTGCCCTCGGGCACCCTCCCCGATCCTGGCTCCAGTGCGGGCCCCCGGTAACCCTATCCCGGGCAGGGTAAACTGTTCCCTCGATGTTTTCCTCATAAGGGTCTTCTGAGCATGCTAAGTTATTTTACTTTTGTTGTTGCTGGACTAGAGGAAGCAACTGTTGGGGTGTGTGCGTGTGTGTGTGTGTGTGTGCGTGTGCGTGCGTGTGTGTGTGTGTGTGTGTGTGTGTGCATATGCACTAGAGTGTTTTCCTTAGGAATGATTTATTTCTTTATTTATTTTTTTTACATATTGCTGTCAGGCTGATATCTCCTTTAATATTCAAAGTTCTTTAGCTCCCTTATTCTGTGAGATATATTTAACCTCTGAATCCCCATGGGTGCTGTGTTCTGTGTCTTTGTACTGTATGTCCTTGAGTCTCTAATCAGCCTACACATTCTGCTCAGTTGCTGTGTGGCAAGTTGGAAGACAACCCAAAACTTTTTTTCTTTTGACAGTACACAGCAATTAGCTATTTGTAATACACAAACGGTGTCTTCTTAGAGATGTCATATTCTGTAAAGATCACACCTTGTCAGTTTTCTTGATGAAAATGTTGTTGCAGAAATAAGCCTCTGATATCCTGACCACCTTTCCTTTTGAAAGACAAATAGCTTAACTTATCTTTTCATTCAAATTTCAGATAGCATCTTCACATCGAAGAGCAACAGTTGCCAAAGGTAATATGCCACACAGCTTTCTTCTGTGCCTATTCAACTTAAAAAGAGCAAAAGAGAAAGAAGTGACGTGTTACAAGTAGGGTTGGTTTAAAAAATCCTTTGTATGTAACACTAATGCATGTTCTGACTGTGAAAGAACCACATCCGTAACCATGATTTCCCCCCCCACCCCCCCCCCCCCCCCCCCACCCCCCACACACACACACACACCCCCAAGCTGCTCAGGAGATGCAGCCTGACTCAGCATTGCTGTGACCTCAACAGTCACACCATGATGAGGCAGCTTTCGACAGGCACTGCTGGCTTTGAAAAAAATGGGAAGGGGGGTTATACATTGTAAGACCCAGCATGGGAGTCATTCTCTGAGAGCACATTATTGAAACACAGAGATGAAGACAACAACTGAACTTGTAGCTGTGCTAGGGGGCCATTGTACTGAGTGTTTGAGTGAGGCGCCTGCGTTGCCTGAATAATTCAGTGAGTCTGTTCGATGCCATTCTAATTAGCTGGCAGTTTGTGATGAGACTAAATGGTCTGAAGTGGGACAAGGGCTCTGCAGGGATTTAGTTTTTTAATCTCCCCTCCCCTTTACTGTACACTTAGACAGTTTGCCACAGACTTCCAGGAAGTCATGGCAACTCCTTAAAAAAAACCTTAACATTTCCAAGACAAATCCTAACAGTTACATCTTTGTTCAATTGTTATCTTGTGCTGTCATCAGAGCATTCAAAGAATCTATTCAGACTAGCTCATACCTCCATTAAGTGTGGCCTTTCCCCATAAACAATTAGGGAAACCTCCCAGAAAAAGCATTTCTTAGTGCAAGGCAACAGTTTGTATTCATAATGTTCTGTTATGTAGTCTGTAGTTCCCAGTTACGTGTAGGTTTTCAAAGATGATGGTTTTCTTAAAAACTGTTTTTCCTATATTTTCAGGAGATTGTGGAAGGACCTCAGATGACATTAGTTTGACTCTTGTTGAGAGCTGTAGTCATGATCATGGTAAACACACAGTCACATATGCTATTACTATTACTTCTCAGTATTTTCCTCAATGTATATTTTCTTTGTATCCATTTAGATCTGCTCTCAGACACAAAGATGTACTGCCTCGTTCCCAATGATTCCTTCGCCTCCTTGCAGCCGTCAACCTCCTTGTGTCCTTCAGAGCTGTCCAGGGAGCCTGCTGATCTCTGTAACTCTGCTGCTTATCACTTCAGCCTGTCACACTCCTCCTGTGACACGGAGGTAACCTCTCATTCATCCATGCAATCTCAGACCTTCAGGAAGGAGCTCCGTTCTCGAGGTCTGCCACGGACCTCTAGCTCGGCAGGTTCCGCTTTCCCTGACCCGAGTCTGCCAGACTTTGCTCTGTATCCTCCACCCAGAAGAGGTGGCCTTGACCCTGTGCGTGAGCTGGAGACTGCCAGACCACACAGGCCAGGGCTGTGTGACAGAGATGGGGCAGACCCCCTGCACCAGCAGGACCAAGCTGTGCCCTCAACTTCTGGAGTAGAGTGCTACAGACACAAAGAGCAACGCAGGGTTGCTCGCTCAGCCTCTAAGGAAGCAGGGGAGAGTAGCTCAGGACTTTACCAGGTGGAAGGAAGTGGTGGTGGAAAAGCCTCTGGTGGAGGAGCAAAGTCCCAAGGAGGGGAGCGAAGTGCCGATAGCCTGAGGAGTCTGAGTACTCGCAGTAGTGGTTCCACTGAGAGTTACTGCAGTGGCACAGACAGAGACACCAACAGCACTGTCAGCAGCTTCCACAGTGAACAGACCAGCTCTACACATGTGGAGAGCCTGCTGTCACTTTCAGGGGATGAACGTGCACGGGAAACGGGAGAGACAGTATCTGCTCCTGCAGACGACAGGACTTCTAGTATTAGACCTCGAAGTCTCGGTAATCTTCCCTCCAGGGAAGCCAATAAAAACCCACATGCCAATGAGCTGACTGCTAAACAAACTGCGGACACTCAGTCACCTGCAACCCAAGAACTGGTGGAACCTGTCAAGTGTGCCGAAGAGCCTGGCATCAGGACCAGTGCTGATGGCTCAACAGGTGTAGCTGTCACAGAGCAGGAGCAGGTGAAAGACAACGTTCAACCAAACTCAGCTAACATTGTTCAGAGGACTTCTTCTCTATCAGCGGGTCGCAGTGGACGCCGGCGGACTGGAAAGAAAAGAGCAAGCAGCTTTGATGCCAGCCATCACCGGGATTACATCTCTACGCGTGCTATGGCCAAGCCCTGTAGTGCTGTATTCACTGGTGGTGGAGAGGATGACTCCAGTGATCAGAGTGAACTCAGCTGTGCCTCCAGTCTCCGCTCCACCAAGCACCTAAGCACAGACAGCTCATCTAGCACCACCTCCCGCTCCTGCCACTCACCAGAGAGCCACTACAGGGCCCTGAAAGCCAAGCACATTTCAGCCAACGCCTCCTCCTCTTCTTCCACCACAGTAAAACCTGAGACAGGAGTTCGAAACGGAGGGAAGCGGCGTACCTCCCGCCGTACTCCAAGCACAGGCAGTGCCAAAACACATGCCAGAGTGTTGAGCTTAGACAGCGGTACGGCTGCATGCCTTAATGATCCCACCCACCTAGGAGCTCCAGCAGGACCTCGACCTCTTACCACCTCCAAGTCAGATTTGGAAGCCAAAGAAGGGGAAGTCCTGGATGCGGCATCCCTGCTGGGTCGGGCCTCCCAGCTGGAATCAGTGACTCGCTCCAGAAACAGTCTGCCCAACCAGGCAGCTTTCGCTGAGCCTCAGGATGCTAATGCTGCTTCCCTACGGGGTATGTACCACACACTGAGCTCCAATGTACTGTACACATTGCATTCTGTGTGGTTTGCATTAGTGATGCATGACTAGTCTACTTTTTATGCTGGCAGACAGAATTAAGGGTTATTAGTCTGGTTTTGTTTTTACCTGCCTTGCAAATTGTTTACATAATCGCTGGTGATGGTTTGGATATGTATTGAACACAGTGAACATTGCTTTGCTGGAAACCTTTAGTCATACTCATGGTTTCTGGCACATGAAACAGGAGCACACTGGTAAAGTTGATCAACTTTAATCTGTTTAGGTGTAGTCGTCCAGCTGCCTCAAAATTGTGTGTGTGTTTGTGTGGGAGTGAGTGCGTGAGACAAGACTGCAGACAAGATGCTGTCTCTCTTGTTCGTTCAGTGTAGCCATGGTAAGTTACCATGGAGTGGCAAGCATAGTGTTCCCTGTGTAGATCAGTTAGCATGATGGCACAGTGTGTGCTTTGTATTGAGGTTAGACAAGCAGCAGCTCTCTTATTAGTGTAAAGCTCAGATAGTATAATAGACATTCCATACTCCACATTCTTCAAATTTGCAACCTGATCTCACATTTGCTCTGTCTGGGTTCTTATTTTTTGGCTTCTGGAGTGTACACCTCGTGGGATTGGATACAGTATTGGAGGCAGGATATGCCAGGGCATATGACTGGTTGGCTAGAAACATGTCATAACTTCACTATACACTGTTATATCACAGTCAGTCGAGGGATATTTATTGGTGTTATAATATAAGTCCGTGACTGCACTTGAAGTTATCAGTGGTGGTTTTTAGTGGAGATTTGGCCGATTTGGAAGAAGCCGATGAATTCAAACCCTACCTCTGTGACAAGCTTAAGTACTTTTTCAGTGAATAAGTTGTGCATTATTTATCATGCAAACAAAAGGCCACATTGGCTCATCTTGATACACTGGGTGGTTTTGCTGCTGCAGCACTCCTTGTTGACTTGCACCCAATGCTAACTAAATTTAGTAGGAGATACTTAAGTTTAGCTAGGAGCTGCTGTGTCATTTTGTTGCTTTTATTGCCCTTATCTGTTTGGCATACTTTTTTAGTCTTTCACCCATCGACCCTTGGAGTGTTTTATCTGATGGAGCATAAGACGTAAACAGGCTGTGCCTACTTAGCGGATGTGCTAACTTTAGCTAAAAGGAGCTGCTGGTCATAACAGATCAAGTAGCGCCGTAAAAGCAAAATTCATTGTTTCTGCCATCATCCTGCCTCCAGTTCCACATGACCAGAGCATGTGCTTGTCAGCAGAATTCATCAGATATGGTTTAAATACTGCACCTCCATCTTTAAAATATTTCACATTTTGGTATATATTGGGGAATATTTTCTTGTACCTTTTATTGTGACAATAAAGGTGTAGGAAGACAATTTGTTTAGAGAGTAAGATGCAGGATATGCATACCAGGTTCATTTTTCAGTGACTATGTCATTAATTTGTGTTTCGGTGTTGCTCTGTAACCGTTTTAAAATGTACCTGAAAGCAGCCATAACACACGGAAAAATCATGTCCTCGTGTCCACATAAAGCTCTCATAAAGAGAGGAAACTTATCCATTCTAACTGGCCAATGATGTCTCTCATCACGACAGCCCCAGGAAGTGAGGAGACGGTCATATTTCGCCGCGAACGTAGCACATTTCGTCGGCAGGCTGTGCGGCGGCGACACAACGCAGGGAGTAACCCCACCCCACCCACCTCCATCATTGGATCTCCTCTCAGGTACGCCGTGAATGGAGCAGGGGGTCGTTTCTATTGTTGTGTTGCCTGGTATGAGCATGTTACCAGGTGGCGCTCTTTCCTGTGCCACATCACCACCAATTTCGGTCTTCTGCTGTGCATGACATCAAACGGGACATCATTTATGACTGGACTGGTTTCTCCACTCTGCATGTGGTTTCTTTGGTCCTCCTTTTCTCAAGACTTCTCTCTTCCTCCTGTTGTCATCCCATCCAATCTTTTAAATTCCACTTGGAGTCCTTACAAATTCAAAGGCACAAGGCCACAAGATCTGACTAATCTACTTGGCTGACACGCCGTCTCCTCTCAGATGTGCGCATGATTTGTTAAGCAATACAGGCGCCCCGCTGTATCACATTGCTCTGCCCTTCAGAAAGAACTTTCTGTGCAGAGAGAGACTGATTATACTGATCATTAAAAAGCCACAGGTTAGGTCTGCAGTATTTCCTGACATGATAAAATAATAATATGTGACGATAGAATGTTTTTATTTTGTTTGTTTATTATCTGTGATACTCCCAGTTGCTCTTCTCTAGATTTTAAGAGCCCAGTTTTGACAGTTTTTCAGCACACTGGACAAAGATGTTTTAATGTCCCCACCTTTTTCTTTTAAATTCAAGCTCTTTTTAAAAAAAAAAAAAAATGCCTTTATGTAATTTAATTCCAATGTTGTGGCTTGTCCCGATCACATCCCTGATGCAACATTTTATTCATTTTATTACATGGGCAAATCACATCTTTACACAAGTTTAGTAAGTGTCAAACTCAGCAGGTCTCTAGCACCCTTTATATTAGATCAGAGTACTGTCTGGAGTGTATTAATCTTTTCTGTGCTCCATGCTTCCCTGCAGAATACTACAAATGAACCGTTACTCCTCGGTTTGTAGAATGATTAAAAGGAAGAAAACCACTCAGAGATGTAAAGTAGCAGTTGTGTCGATGCTCAAAGAAAAAATATGTTAATCTTCCACTGATATATTTCTGTGGATGCACATCAGGTTCCTCCGAGGTCTCTTTAAACCCCCTCCCATTTACTTGTGCTCTAGGCAAAGCTCTGTTTTCTTTAATCTATCTTACAAGGTCACGTTGCTAAATGCTGAGCCTTAAGCAACAAAAGCAAGCGTGCAGCCTGCCAGGGGTCAATAAACTTGCAAAATCATTCCCTCTTTCACTGATTCCTCCACCCTTCACTGTCCCTTCACTTCCAGCACATTTTTACTTTATGTACTTATGCTGCACTAGACACCTTTGCCTTCTCAGGTAGTTTTCTTAATCCAACATTATAAGGGAAAGCAATTGAGTTTATTATTTTGATGAAAATCCTCTGAATTGTCTGCATTCATTAGTCTGATTTCTGTTGTTGTAATCAGAGGCCTGAATTTATCAGCTTCATTAAGGATAATCTCCATCTAAAGTTTGACAGGACATTCACGTCTTAGTAGATTTTTTTTCCTAAGAAGAATTAAAAGAATGGAGTTAGGTACACAGCTTTATAAATGATTGTAACTTGAGAAACAATAAGAAATAACTTCTTCATTCACAAGTCTAAACCATGTCTGACACCATCACAAAAAACGATTATTGTGTGAGGAGCAAAAATTAGTCTGTAGCCTCCGCATCAAATCCCACCATTTGAAAACTACACGTCATATCCTGCTCACCTTTTGAGGTTATGTGCCAGCAATACCAACCCCTTGGACTCCACCACTCATTTCCTCCCCTTCTTCCCTTCTCCTCCCAACAGTCTTCAGGAGGCTCTCAACCAGGCCTCCCAGCCTTCTACTTCCCAGGTGAAAAGTCAGCCATCCAGAACCTCGTCCCAGGTTACAGTGCTGAGCGCTAGCGCGTCCCTGCTGGCCAGGAATGGAAGCGCACACCTGGAGGGTTCTCAGGACAAGGCCTCAACTGTTGGTGCCACCAGCTTGCAGGAGGACTTCGGTAGGGAGTTCATGAACAGAGCTGAGCAGTTAGGAAAGAATTTCTTTGGGGAGAGGTGACAGATCTGGTCATTTTTGTCATAAGACCTATATTTTGTGGTATTTTCCTCATGCTTGATTAGAAAGCTGCTGCTTGATATTTTGGATTTGCTCAAAGAGTTGTCGCAGATATGACCATGGCCATCAGTCATAGCAGTGCACTATTTTCCACAGTCGGTGGACTGTTGTAATCAGTCAAAGCCTGGCACCATTATCCATGCTCCATTTATCTCTGTGATATTGTGGTCTGTAGCTAATACTTGACCTTACTTGGATATTAATGTTACCTTATGGTCACATCATAGCACATACCCCAATGCTGACAGCACTGTAACAGATTGGTATAGATGTCTATACGTAAGCATGTCTATTTAAACACTTACATCAAGGAAAAGAAGGGGTTGTGTAGGGGCTGCCATGCACTCTTCACCAGAACCAGTGATGAATGGATTATTACTCCTGCTCATAATTGAACTAGAAGCAGATTACTTTTGTGACATGCTGCATGGTTTGTGTGTGTGTGTGTGTGTGTGTGTGTGTGTGTGTGTGTGTGTGTGTACACTTGTCCCGTTGTCTTGTCTGTATAGGACAGACTGAGAGTGGTCTGATGCAGGTTTTTATGTACTCTAGATGTGAAGGTGATTCAAAGAATACTCAAGTGAAGATGTGGTTTTTGGAACATCTGTGAACAACTAGATGAAGTATATTATCTTTCGAAATTTTTCAGAAAATTTCATCATGCCATGTCCTCCTGAGATCCCGCCTATTCGTTATGTTCTCTGTAGTGGACTAAAAAAAAAAGTTAAACTGAGAGATTTTTCTTTAACTTGGTTCTCAGGAGGATATGCGTTGCACAAACGGTCAGGTCCTTAACAGAAAGGACTTCAATAGAAATGGGTTGTAACAAATTCCTGAAAGTGATTTTTTTTTTTTTTTTTTTTTTTTTTTTTTGTCTTGCTGGAATCCTAATTTCTATCACTGAGAGTCAGAAAATGTACGTAAAATATTTTAAATGTCTAGCTAGGCTTTTTTTTTTTTTTTTTTTTTGCGTTTTCCCCACACTTTTAATACCCATTACATTCAGTGGATTCATACTGGAGGGTTTGGATTTGATAGAAAGGCTTAGTACATCTGTAATTTTTGGGTGGTGTTTTGTACCTCATCACAAAAAAGTGCAGTAAAACTACTCTGAAGCAACAGACATGTATTAGGAAAAATCTGACCACTTGTCAAGACTGAGCAGGAAATGAGTGACTTGCCTACAGCCACTGGGAGGAGGCACTTTCACTGCATAATCACATTAGCTCAGATGAATACAGCAATATTGTCAAATCCATCTAATTCTCCACATATAAACATGTAATTTAATGAAATTACTCCCACAGACGACGCCACTCTGTGCTTGTGATTTCCATGGACTGACTCTGCGTCTCTTTCTTTTTGTTGTGTGCCTCCAGGAAAGCTCACTCCCTCTTTATATGAGGCTGGCGGATGTGATATGTCGCTGGTCAATTTTGAACCTGCAACCAGACGAGCCTCCAATAACATATGGTTAGTATCAGAATGATCACCTGATTTGTGTAGTGGGTTTTTAGACGACGGGATACAAACCCTGAGCTTTTTGTGTTTTTAATCAGGAGGTAGCAGTTTTCTCTAAAGAGCTGCGAAATGATTGGTTAAACGAAAGCATCTACCAGTACCTCTAAGGTTTCTCGTGGGTGGATTCTGTTACCTTTTCTTCTGTACCATGCTAGACCTTTTTCCCTGGTTTCCATTGTTATAAAATACAAGAACTTTCTGATGGCAGTAGCTTCACATTTAACAAAATGCCACTGAAAGAGAAGAAGTCTTAATCTTCTCATTAAGCTTTGAAGGATTTAAACACCATAACACATGCCCTGATGATTTTTGCTTGGTCAGCATTTTTTGAGTTTTGAAATCGGATCACTTACCTTGATTTAAATTGAAATAAATACATTACTAACTTTGTCAAGTTAGCTTGCTGACCTTTTCTTGATTGTAGTGTTTTGCTAGTCGCTGCAGTGAGTTCGTCATGTCTCCAATGGTTATTTTTAATGGAACCCTAGCTTAAAAGGAAAACATGACTGTACAGTACAAAAACACAGCAAATTGCCTATTGGCTATTTAGTTTGAGGTCATCAGGAAATGAATCATGGTTTAATACAGTAATTGCAGCAGATGCTTTTCTTTCATCAGTGTTCTCATTTTCTTTATACCCCGCAGGGATACGGACTCCCACCTCTCTAGTTCTACCTCAGTTCGCTTTTACCCTCATGACCTGGTGTGTACCCAACCAGTGAGCTCCTTTTGGCATGTATGTTTGTGAAAAAAAAGGAGACTTTCACATCTCAAATGTCTACTTGACCAGTTTAAAATGGTTTTACGTGGTTATACAGTACTGTGCAAAACTCTCAAGCCACCTATCGTTTCTTTGTTTTGCTCAGGAAATGGGGAATAGGTGAAGCAATTTACAATTTGATACATGTGTGCAAATTCAGTACATAAGAAGAAAAAAAAGCTGTTTACGTAATTCTAACAACCCTTAGGCAAGTATGTATCTGAGAAGGTTTCACCAAACAGTCCATGAATGAAAGGACAGATACATCTGTTAAATCTTTTCTCAGGTCTCAGCTGGAGTTTTTCTTATTTCCTAAAGACTTTGAGATAGTGTTCATCTGCTGTTAGTTGTTTTTTAGGACACTTACCAGATTTTCAGCAAATAGCTCTTTAGGACTCACCCTGTTGTTGCAAAAAAGTATTTTCTGTCTGTTAAACTATTTAACTAAAGAAACCGGAACAAACTGTATATTTTGCAACAGGCAGGTGTCTCAAGGTACACTTTAAAATTGGCTCTTTGCTAAGTTGTTTGTTATGTGTAGACACAACACTGCTTTAACCTTTGAGATTGGTGCCTTTTTATGTAAGCCTAAAAGTTATTGCTAAAGAAGACTTAAAAGGTCTGGCTCTTTGAGAGCCAAACATAAAGACACAGGGGAAGGGTGGCTACAGACTTTTGCAAAGTACTGTATGTGCTCTGCTTCTTTTGCCAATATGCAACAAAGATGTCTTCAGTGGTGTTGTCTAACCAAGTATGCAACAAGGGCTCATAGGGTTTGAAGAGTGAACGGGATGTGATGGTGCAAGCTTTGACCTGTGTCAAAATCAAATATTTAATTGTACTAAAAGAAAATGTTTAATGCTGTTAAAGCTTTATTATTACTCCTATATGATCTCTTTATCTTGTTGTAATGTAATCAATTTCTTCTTTATTCCAAATCATGTCTTTTGGACATTTGTCTGATTGTGGGATAGATCTCCCTCCCTCAGATCCGTTTGAACCGTCTGCTGACTATGGACCCAGAGCTGCTGGAACAGCAGGACGGAGATCTGAGTCCGGAGCTTCAGGATGCACCACTGGGACAAGAGGATCCTGCGGGCTCTGCTGCAGCTGGGAAAGCGAAGCAGTACTACCGTCTGTGGCTTCTCCCCTACCTGTGGGTCGGCCTGCACTTTGACCGACTTACCCTGCTGGCGCTGTTCGACAGGTAGGGCTTCACATCAGGTCATTTCCATCTGCTTCAGCTTTATTTTTACAAAGCACCATTGGTGACCTCAATGCAAATTTTAAATTCGGTGTGTCACGTGCATACTTCATCACAATTTAGTCGGACTCAAAAATACTGAATGTTGGACTTGTCTAGAGCTTTTCTACTAGAAAACCGGTTTGTTTTTTAGATAAATTAGATTATTTAGAAAATTGATATTTCTTTTTATGAAATGTCTGCCTATCACAGCATGAGCCATTTATTTAATCAGTTCCAATTAAATTAAAAAGCAGGCCAAGTGGGTTGCAGCAGTGTCTGACTAATGAACGAAAAGAGATCCCCTAGTTTGAGACTGACATTTCTCCTAGAGCATTCGGTTCCTTAAGAACTACCTAACTGTATTTCAAGCACATACTAGAGATGGCACGATACCACTTTTTTATGTCCGATACCGATACCGATATCATAAATTTGGATATCTGCCGATACCGATATGAATCCGATATAGTGTTTTTTAATCAACAAAACTGTTTTTTAAAATATCTTGCTGCATTTTGCAAGTCTGCAAGTTCATACTCAAGTTTAAAACAACAACTACACTAAAGCTATTCTGTTATACCTGTATACAAAAAAAATATTTCATAGTTCAGCAATACTGATCAATCTAATAAACTTAAACCTACACCATCCTCCCTATTCTGGTATTTTAAAGAGTACTTAGCGTAAATATTAAGCAACCTAACTAATAGGGTTCCAACTCCCAGCAACAACAAAAATAAATAAATAAAAAATAGGGAACCACCCCTCACGCTCCACCTCATGATGCTTAATCGACGTAATCAACCTTAATTTGATGCAGTGTGAAAAAAAATGCACAGAAATCAATTATTTTTCAAGAAATATTAAATAGATTCAACATCTTTCTTCAACAAAATTGCAGACTGCACAGATGGTACCTTCCCAAAGGAAAAAGTACTATAGCTTACTAGGGTATATATATTAGACTTAATAGTCACTATATACAGTAATTGACTTCTATTCATTTTACATCAAATTAAAACTTTGTGTGTCAGATAATTATTTATTAAAAGCTAGACATTTTAAATGAGAATAAGAAAGAAAAGTATGTCTTTGTGCCCCCTTTTCCCAGTTAATGCCCTATCGGCCCCCCTGGCTAAACTTTGCTAGATCCGCCCCTGCACAGTTACCAGCGTCAGCTACGTAGAAAACGATCCTGGTGTAGAAAGTAATATTAAATAAATTCTAACAACAGCTTATCAAGCTTAAACGTGCTGCTGTTGTTCAGCCGCTGGTTTCCTCTTTCTGGTGCAAAGTGGGCCAAAAACAAAGACGGACTCGCGACAGAAAAGCCGATCAGCTGATCATTTAAGCAGTTTCAGATTGAAGTAGCAGCCGGAGAGCGAGAGGCAGTCGCTCGTTAAGCTTAACGCAGGAATGCTTTACAAACATTCAGAGATGGACTTACACACTTGCTTTACTTCTCTCGGGGATAACTTTGTCGGAGATGAAATGCCAGGTTGCTAGCGAAGCTCCAAATGCTATCCAGACCACAGGTCCCGCATGCCACAGCCGCTCTATCACGTGATGCATACTGCTCCGACATGCTAACGTTCTGAGGTGAGTTACGGCGTGTTGCAAATTTTGTGAGGTGCTTTCGTGATATTTAATGGATCGGATTACATTTTTTATTTTTCTCCGATATCCGATCCAGTAATTTAGGTCAGTATCGGACCGATACCGATACGTAATATCGGATCGGTCCATCTCTAGCACATACATGTATAAATTTTCCTTAAATGTCACCCATTGCAGGATATTTTGTGCCTGCTTTTGAAGAATAAAGTGAAATTCAATAGAAATAATTTTTGATGTTACTTTGCTTTATAAGTGTATACCTGAAATTGTCTCAGCTTGCAAAAACATCTATCTGTGCATTATTAGCTGAGGTTTACTAGTCCAAAATACAAAAAAACAGGCCTTTATTTAAATCACACAAGAAGCCTTTAATTGAAACAAACAAACAAAACTACAATCTGCTCTCCATTGTCCAGTCAGAATTACAGCATTACATTCACTACTCAAAGAGATCAACAGGTTAGCTTGTGTTTTACGGTTAAGCAGAGTATTGCACCTACCACACCTGTTTCCACTAAGACAGGGATGACCTTTGCTAATTTAATGCAAAGGTAAATGAAACACAGCATGTGCAAACAAACTGTAAAAATGTCTGAACAAGCTTGGAGTGAATCATTATGGTCATAGCATAAGCTTTGCTAAAGCACACCCAGATCCTCACCGACATGACCTCTCAGGCTGCTACACCTCATGTAACAATTTTAGATCAGAGTTTTTACTTAATAATAGAGATGGCAAGATACCAATATCATAAATTTGGATATCTCCTGATACTGATATGAATCTGTTATAGTCTATTTTTTAACTGTTTGTTTGTTTTTATGTGTTGCTGCATTTTGTATTAGTTCATATACAAATTTAAGAGGACAAAGCAGTAAAGCTATTCTAGCTAAAGCTATTATACTTGAATGCAAGAAATACACTGCACCCAAAATATATCTCAGTCCAGCAATACTGATCTTTTTATTTAAACTTTAGCACCATTTATCTGTCACCGGCATCCAAACATCCATCCTGAAAGTGGGCAGCTTTATGCAGAACTTTAAATCTAAGTATATAAAGTAATATTCAAGAAATTAAAAGTGCAAATTTCAAAAACCCTTTTGGTTCTGAAAAACAAATGAAGTGCACTATTAGCAGACAAAGGCAGTAGCTGCCCAAACCCTAAAAAAACAACTAAAAAACATTCTTGTAATAACGCATTTGTTATTGTACAGTACCATTGTACAGTCAGACTTAGCAATGACATCGGACAGACGTCCGAGCTCCAGATATTGGTTGTTAAGCTTAACATGGGAATGCTTTCCAAACATTCAGAGATGAACTTTTTTTTTAAGTTGATCTCGCACACGCTAGCCACGCAATCACGTGACGCACACTCCTCCATCGTGCTAAGGTCATGACCTGGGTTATACCATGTCGCAAGTTTTGTGAGGCGCTTTTGTGATATTTAATGGATTGGGTTATTTATTTATTTTTTATTTCTCCCCGATATCCGATCCAGTAAATTAGGTCATTACTGGGCCGATACTGTATATCAGATCGTTCAATCCCTGCTTATTAACAGTGCTTTTGTTGTGAAACATTTTGTAGCAACAGCTTGGTGGGATCGCTTTGTTTGTTTTGTTTGCCGTAATTTTTAATTTGTGTTGATTACATTGGCTTTATACTGCTGTCAGCTTTTGTTGTGAACATTTTAGGATGTTAGATATTAAGTTTCTGTCGTAAGCATTTTTGTTTAGCAGTTTCCTGCAAAAGTCTTGTCTTCAAATAGTAAACTCAAAAGCTGTTATGGTAATCGACAGTACTGTGCTAAAGTCCTGAGCCAAAGTCCTGAGCCACACCTTATTTCTTTATATTTTGTTTCCAAAGTTGAATTGAGGAATAGTTCTCCAGGCTTTCTGAAGGTCGTTCAAAGTTTTTCTTTGGACATGGGATCCTTTTCACTTCACGTTTTTATTTTTATTTTTTAAAGCCAATTAACATTGACCTCTGAATCATTCAAGCATTGTGTGTGTTTACATAACAGAGAACAAATTTTAAATTGTCTTTTGGTACTTTGTTATTAGCAGTCTGTATCAAAAACACACGATTTCTTCCCTTGTCTTTAGTTAAATCTATGCAAAATGTCAAATACAGCACAGATTACAGGCATAAATTTGTATTTTTGCACCAAAAAGGGGATCAGCCAAAAAGTAACATGTCTCAGCATGGTGTGCAGTGTAGCCCTGAGAAATTAGAGAAAACAAATTGTACAATTTGAGGACGAAAGTAAAAACTAAGAGGCCTTCCTGCGATAAAGATGATATTTGACGACAACCCCATTCCCTAATGACAAGTTATGACACCTCAATATCTATCAATGAAGACTATGTTTGAAGTTTTTCCCAAGTGTAGCTGTAGTAAGCTGTACAGGCAGAGATCACCCTCAGTAACCCATTGATTATGTTCTGGAAGGAGGCCAGACAGAAATGGCTCTGATCAGAAAAGAGAAGAAAGGGTTAACCTTGATTAGCTTTTGGCAGCAGCTTCATTTTTCATCATGACAATTATCCCAAACATACTGCCAGGGCACTAAAAGCATACCTGGATGGAAAAACACACAATGCAACACCTTTGGTCATGGACTGGCTTCCCCAGAACCCAGACCTTAAGAATGCATGCCTAAGAGAGTTTTTGTTCTTTTTCTTTCTTCTTCAAAAACAGGATAGCTCAGGACTTTTGCACAGCACTGTTGTCAATTCTGTTTCTGTTTCTGGATTCAGCAAGAACATCAGCCACATTGTTAAGTCTTTGAAAATAAAATCATTCATCTTGCTTGGGGATTTGGAGTCTCTGCTTTCTATCACTTGCCTGTAATTATCTCTATGTGGGAGTTACTCAGTCAGACTTGTCTAGCTGTAAGCTTCTCAACAGCAGCAAGAAGAATAACCACAGTTGGCAGTGAAAGAATTGATTTTTAATTTGTTGTTTTTTTAAAGCACCACGTGGATCTCTGCAGTCAATATTATCCTCCTAAGTCGCTCCAGTTTGCTGACCCATCACCACATGCTGCCAGTTTAAATGGAGAGCTGTTGACATTATTTATTTGTTGATCCCAGTCTTTGGAACAGTTTTTTTTTCTTCTCTGTTAAATCTTCCAAATAATTTTTGAATTGACTTTTTCCCAATTGTTACAGGAACCGTGAGGTTTTAGAGAATGTGTTGGCAGTGGTGCTGGCTGTCCTTGTGGCCTTTCTGGGTTCCGTGCTGCTGGTTCACGGCTTCTTCACTGATATCTGGGTCTTTCAGTTCTGCCTCGTCATTGCAAGCTGCCAGTATTCCTTACTAAAGGTGAGTAGCTGGGTGTACAGGACTCAACCTTAAAGTGCAACAGAGGAGCACTGCTGCAAAGAAGCAGTTTAAAAGCTGCAAAATGTGTTAGGCATGCCTGCAGAGGTTTGTTATGCCTTTAAGGGAATAGCTGGTGCAAAAATAAAAATGATTTATTTCTTTACTTAGGAGAGTTTGTAATAACATGTTCGTACGAGGTATGTCAACATTATCATTTTAATTGTGCCTTTCTTTATCGACAGAGTGTTCAACCAGACTCCTCTTCCCCTCGTCATGTAAGTGTCATTTGCAAATCATTAGAACAGGGAGACTTATTGAGAAATGACATCAAAACAAGATATTAAATGGATTTTATATAAGAAGTAGAAAAAGTAGAAAGTCAGTAGTACTTTGAAGCTCTGTAGTTATTATTCAGCAGCTTTTTGTTGCTTTGTTGTGGTCCTGAAAGTTGATGCTGCTCCACCCCCACCCCCCACCCCTTCCTTATGAGCCTGGGTGTTCCTCCCTCCCTTGTGTCAGTGGCCTGCTCTGAAACGGCGTCTTTTATTAATGCAGCTCATACTCAGCTGCAGGCACAAGCTTTAAATAGCTGGTCAGAGTTTAGACCACAGCTCACTCTCTTACTCTTTGTCTCTGTCTCTCTCTCTCTCTCTCTCTCTTTCCCCCTGGGTGTCCTCTCATCTCACCTCAAGGACTTTATTCCTTCCCATTTCTCGACATTTCGGGGTGGGGAGATAAAAAAAAAAGTCTTTTTAATCTGATTGGTGGTGCGTGAGCTGTCGCTGCCTCCCAGAGTAGAAAAGCAGGACATCTTATAGCCTCTTGGGTTGCAACCTGCACGCTGCAGATATGCATCCTCCTTCTCCTGTGAAACCTTACACTTGATACTATTTCTGTTTATACCTGTGTCACTCTCCATGGGGCTGATATAACACTGATGCCTTTAAAGAACGATTGTTAGAATGATTGTTGTATTACACTTGGCAGTTACTGTTTTTTGCTGTTATCCAAGGTTTAAAACAAGTGCGCACGCTAGCATTATGGCTTTTTATCTTGCTTAATAAATACTATGACAACAGACAATTGTTATTTAGAAAGAAAAATGTAAAACATTAGGATTTCTCTCCTTTTTTTCTTATTTTAATACACAGGGTATGTCTTACTGAGCTATATTGAACCACAAAAAAAATGTTTCTTTAATGATCCATTTGTATCCTCATACCCTTGTCCCTGCAGGGCCATAATCGTATCATAGCATACAGCCGGCCTGTCTATTTCTGCCTGTGCTGTGGCCTCATTTGGCTTCTCCACTACAGCAGCCTGCGGACCACTTCCTCTCGCTTCACCCTGTATGGAGTCGCACTCACCAGCTCCCTGGTGCTCACCTCTGCCAGGGACCTCGTCATAGGTGAGTACACTACCTTGTTACTTCTTTGTACTCTGTGAATAACAATCAGTGTTTAAAGGAAAGTCAAAGAGAAACATGCCAAAATGCTAAATCCTGGATGTTTTAGAAGTGATTTAATGAAAGGGGGTGACGTAGCAAGACAACTTTGAGCAGCACAGTTTGGGTGTGTATGTGTGCAAAAGCTGGAGGCTGAATCCAGGCCAGGAAATGCTTTAAAAGTTATAAGTAAACATATTAAGGGCCCTAAAAAGTTTGCTTATCCTGCAAGTGGCCATAAGCACTTTATCTGATAAAATATTAATGACTAAATAAGGAACTTTCAAAGCTGACAAAAGCATTTTTGGAAAAATTTATTGAGAATATTAAGAGTTAAATTTCAGGACTCATCTGATGTAGAATTCCTGGTGTGAGCAGTAATAACCAAACAACCCAGCAGCTATCATGAGATGTTGAAAGTGTTTTAAACTATGGAAGCACTGACAAAATAGCCCGAGTTCAGAAATCTCTAAAGTAATCCAAATGGTTCTAACGTTTGCCACCATTAATAAGATGTATGAAATAGGTTTCTGGGATCTGATCCATTGATTTTGCAACAGTCATAAAGTGCAGACTGTGTGTGAGCAACAAATCTCTACTAAAAACAAAATTTTTCTTTTGGTTTATATAGATATTAAATGCTCCTTTCATCAACCCATAATCAATAATTATTGCTGCATTGTCTTTGGAGACGTTGCTGTACACTATTAGGAACCAGTAATATTTGAAGTGAGCCTCAGGGTATTGTTTCCTGTGTGTGAAAGGTGATTCCTGCAAATTACAGAATTATAGGATGATAAATGTGTTTAATTTTGCTTTGCTTGCTTCTCCCTGCAGTCTTTACTCTGTGTTTTCCCATCATCTTCTTTGTGGGGCTGCTGCCACAAGTCAACACGTTCGTCATGTATCTCTTCGAGCAGCTGGACATCCATGTGTTCGGGGGCAATGGTGAGTAACTTTTAGATACACAACTTTTCTGCAGGGGTGACTTTGACCTCTACAGGATGAGACGTCAGCCACTTATCCACGTTGCTTTACCTTATACATTATGATATACCAGGCATCATAAGAGGCCACTGTGCTGATTTCAATTCTGCCTGCCCTTGTTGCTGTCAGTTTGAGTGCTCTCATTGCTGGCATCCTCCCTGTTCCCTTTGCAGCCTCTACAAGCCTTCTGTCAGCACTGTACAGCATCCTGCGCAGCATCGTCACTGTCGCTCTGCTTTACGGCTTCTGCTACGGAGCTCTGAAGGTGAACGCAAACAATGCCTAATAACGACTAAACACAAAGTGCAAGTGACGCTCAAGGAGGAGTGTATTCCTGATCTATAATGTTAAAAATACAAAAAAAAACGTATTTTGTTGAGGTGGTGACAATAAATGGAAAAAATAAGAAGTACCTGATTCTTGTTCTTGGCGTTTGAGGAAAACATGAATGATTGTGTCGAATTTCAGTCCAACTAGTTGTTGTCAACATCACTCGACACTAAAAACTGTGATGCTCAGTTTGCAGTAGAGAATTTATTGTGGAATCACCAGGATACACTACTTGATATTTATTGTCCTAATTCATTATCCTTTAATTCTCCATGTCTCCTCGCTTCCCTCACTTGCTTCTCGTCCTCCCGGTGAGGATGGGAGAGAGATGTGATGAAGAGACACATCCATAGTTGAGTTGTTATGAGCTATACGAGTTCTTACTCGTATAGCATCAGTTTTAATCGTTGTATTGATGTTTTGCACATCTGAATTACCTTTAAAACGGTTAAGTACAAATGTCCATAAAACGTATTTTTTATTCACATATATAAGTAAAGTATTACTGTACAGTATACCTAACTACATAAAGGTGTGGGTGTTAAATATAAAAATAAAAAATAAGACTAACTGTTGCTTTCCGTGATGCCAAACCACATTGCAAACGTGTTAGATTTAACACATGAAACAAGAAGGTATAGAGACTCTCCCTATGTCGCTATGTTCTGTTATACTGGCTGCTGGTCTTTATCCATAGCACTACAAAGTAAGCCTCGTGGGAATAAGCTGCATCACATGTGGAAGAGCAACATTTAAAATTATGCAGATGTAGTCTATGCCACATATAGGCTACATTTGTTCTTGCTCACTCCTAGCTTCTCCAGAAGCCTCTTCTCTATGTTCTTTTTAATCTGCTAAAAGATCTGTCATAATGTTGGAGGAAGAGATTTGTGGGTCATGGCAGGATAGAGGATACACAGAACCATAATTTAGCATATTGAAAAGAAGCTATTGTCAGGATTCGTCTTGGACTGTTTCATGGTAGTCCATCCAGTAGTTTTGGAAACATCAGGCATCTACATGAACAAACTGTATGTGTAAATATACCAGCAACATAAGGTCAGACACCCAGAAGTGTGTTAAATCCTTGATACTGTGTTTCAGGAGACCTGGGAGCCTCATCACATCCCTGTGCTATTTTCTGTATTCTGTGGCCTCTTGGTGGCAGTGTCTTACCACCTGAGCCGGCAGAGCAGTGACCCCTCTGTCCTCCTGTAAGTTTACAGACATGCACCACAGCTTTGATTTGTATTAAAGCAAAATTCACATATTACATGATTTTTAAAACCAAAACTGGTCCTAATGGTTGGATGGGTGAAAATGCCTTATCTGGTTCAAATAAGGATTTTCCATTAACTGCTTCATCCGTTAAGAGTTAAGTGTGAACTTTCTACTCAAACATATTCTGTGGATTATCTTAGATATGGATTTCCTGAAATCAGTTCAAATAGCTTAACACTGCTTCACCAAATAGTTGTGTTAACAGATGTTGACTCTGCGATCCTTCTGATTGTATAATCCCTCACAGGAGGTTGATGGCCTTCAAACCGGTAATATTTTCGTCTCTTTGATTTACAGCTCACTGGTACAGTCCAAGATTTTACCCAATTTAAGAGACAAAAATCCAGAAGACCCCCTGTCAGAGGTCCAGGACCCTCTGCCAGAGAAACTTAGGTCTTCAGTGGTGAGTATACATCAATTTTAGTTGTTAAAATTGTTGCACAGTTCTAATTTTCAGTCTAAAATAGTTTTTTTTGTTTCTTTGATCCCTTAAGTGTTTCTTTTCAAATGTTTTAGAATGAGCGTTTGCAGTCCGACCTGATCGTCTGTGTGGTCATTGCTGTCCTTTACTTCGCCATCCACGTTAGCACAGTATTCATAGCGCTGCAGGTACAGTCATTTCTTTGGTTTTGAATACAGAAAATCAAATGTAATGTGTGCTGTATTGTTACATTATATATTCTTTTAACACTCATGATGATCCATGCAGTTATTTTTTCTTGTTCTTAAAACCAGCAAACACAAACTGTAAGCATTATTGCATCTCTGTGTTCCCGCAGCCTTTCCTCAGTTATGTCCTGTATGCTCTGCTGGGGACGGTGGGGTTGCTCACCCACTACCTGCTGCCTCAAGTTCGCAAGCAGCTACCCTGGTACTGCTTCTCTCACCCTCTTTTAAAAAACAAGGAGTACTACCAGTTTGAAGTCAGGGGTAAGTACAGTGAATTTGAGTCACATGGGGGAAATCAGAAAAATAATTTTTATTTAGTCTTTTTCTTTCTTCATTTTCTTCATCATCTCAAATGCTCTTCCTCTCTTTTGTCAGATGCAGCACATGTAATGTGGTTTGAAAAGCTGCACGTGTGGCTGCTGTTTGTGGAAAAGAACGTTCTCTATCCACTCGTTATTCTCAACGAGCTCAGCGGCAGCGCCAGAGAGCTGGCCAGCCCGAAAAGACTCGACACCGAGTGAGGACTCCGTTGTTTCTCTTTGTGACTCTTTCTCTGATTTCTATCAGCTTTTTAGAGTGATGCAAGTTTGAATGCGTGGTACTTAAACAAAACAAAAAATGTTCTTTGCTGTTGCTCCAGAATCGGCGCACTGATGATCACAGTGGCAGGCCTGAAACTGCTTCGCTCCTGCTACAGCAGTCCTACCTACCAGTATGTGACGATCCTCTTCACTGTCCTCTTCTTCACCTTTGACTACCGTCAACTGTCGGAGACGCTGTTGCTTGACCTCTTCCTGATGTCTATCATTTTCAGCAAGGTGAGAGAAATGTATTTAAATTATTTGAGTGAATATTCTGATTAACTGCAAGACACATGCATACATATCATATCACAGGTGGATGATTCATATTACTGGTTTCTTGACTGTTTCTTTCTGGGGGGGGGGGGTTGTTTTGTTTTGTTTTTTTAAGATGTGGGAGCTGTTCTATAAGCTGCACTTTGTTTACACCTACATCGCCCCCTGGCAGATCACGTGGGGTTCAGCCTTCCACGCCTTTGCTCAGCCCTTTGCCGTGCCTCGTATCCTTTCACTGCTGTCTCTTATCACAGCATACTATAGACTGAGTCAGCAGTTTCTTATGTTGGTCTGCAGCACTGCAGTAAATTCTTCCTGTTATAACATGTTAAGTGTTTTGTTTTTTGAGGCTGTAGTTTTTCTTGTAGCAAGTTGTCAAATGACCTTGACCTGAGGCCTCATCAGACTCTGCCATGCTGTTTGTCCAGGCTGTAGTGTCAGCAATCTTCTCCACCCCCCTCAATCCCTTTCTGGGCAGCGCCATTTTCATCACTTCTTATGTCCGTCCTGTCAAGTTCTGGGAGAGAGACTACAAGTGAAGAGTTTTTTTGTTTTTAAACATTTTTCTGACACTTTCTTGCACTTCTAAAATGTGTTGCTCTTTTCCGTTTTCTTGCAGCACTAAAAGAGTGGATCACTCAAACACTCGACTGGCCTCTCAGTTGGACAGAAATCCAGGTGACGACATGTCTTTTGGTTAAAACTGTAACCAGAGAATTGCTTGCTTAAATGTTGATATTTAATTGGGGCAGACTTAAATCCTCATTGTGTCCTAGTGATCACACTGGTTACACAATAAAGCAGTGACGTGTGATTTATTAATGTACTTTACTCCTTCCTTCATCTGTCCTCAGGCTCTGACGACAACAATTTGAACTCCATCTTCTATGAGCACCTGACCCGCTCCCTGCAGCACAGCCTCTGTGGAGACCTCCTCTTGGGCCGCTGGGGAAACTTCAGCACCGGGGACTGTTTCATTTTGGCTTCTGACTACCTGAACGCGTTGGTGCACCTCATAGAAATTGGTAACGGCCTTGTTACCTTTCAGCTTCGAGGGCTGGAGTTCAGAGGTGAGGAGATCCATTTGTAAAAAGTGTTGAACCAGCTGTTGCAGGAATTCAGTCACTAATTAATGACAATTAATTATTAACAAATGCGTTGTAGTGCAAGAACTGAAGGTTAAAAGAAATTCAGAAAACAGGTGTTTCACTACAGCTAATATGATCAGTCTTATTTGTTTCCAAGTAGAATCCCAAGTGACTAAAATATTATAAACAATCTTCAAACGTAACCTTATTTGGGTCTTGTCAACCTAACCAAGATCATGTGGTCTAACGTTTTGTAAGTGTTTGTAAAAATGTATTTTATGACTTTTTAGTGTACCTCATTAAACATTATTTTCAAGTGTCAGGTCAGACCTGTGGCCCATATCACATCTCTCCTTTTACTCTTCACACTAAACAGGCTGTATGTATCGTTCAGTTAGTTTTAGAGCTTGGACAGCTGTGTCAACATATTCTTTATATTCTTTGTGTAGTTATTATTTTGTCTGGTCTGACCTCTGTTATTTACAAGATTTTTATATTTCCACATGAACAAAAGTATTGTCCCACACCTCTTAATCTTATAATTCAGGCCTTTTCAGTCCCATGGCCATAAGTGTATAATATTAAGCACCTAGCCATCTGTCTTAACAAACGTTTGTGGGTCATTCTAAAGAACTCACTGGTTTCAAGTATGGTACTGTAGAAGGACGTCACTGCTGCAGCAAATCATTTTGTGAAAGTTCTTCCCTCCTGGATTTTCTACAATCAACTGTAAGTGTATTATTGCAAAGGGGAACGGTGCAAGAACCACAGCAACTCAGCCATGAATTGATGACATGAAGTTACAGGGTGGGGTCGCTGAGGCATGGAATGTGTAAAAGTTGCAAACGCTGTGCTGACTCAGTAACTGCAGAGCTCCAAACCTCCTCTTCCATTACGATCAGCATGAAAACTGTGGACAAGGAGCTTCATGACATGAGTTTCCAAGGCTAAACACTTCCTGTAGGAGTAATGTGTAGGTGGCCCAGTATGTTTGTCCATGTAGTGTAGCAGCACAAAGTTAACTTTAAAATTGTGAAGCCAGTTCCCATCGTAGATCTGCCATAGAGCAAAATAAATGTGACACGTATTGGCTTTCAAGTGGTTTTGGCATTTCATAGATCTGCAGTTTCAATCTCCATTCATATTTGTGCACTTGTTTTGTTTTTTGTTTCTTTTTTTTTAAGGAGGTCAAACTAAACCCTGAGAATTATTTACAAGTACTACTTGAGATATTTCATCAGTGGCATTCCACTGTATTTGTTTAGTCATTCTTATCTCCTTCCCAAACACACCTGGTCGTGCTTTATCATCAGCGTGACTTTGTTTTATTCAGCCTGAAGCTTTGTGCTGCAAATAAACCTGCTGAAACATTAGCTGAGAACATGTGACGGAGTAAACGTTTTATAGAATTGGAGGCACACCCCAAAGCATGACACTCATCACCAGTTTCTGTCAGCAGCTTTGTGTTTATTACAGAGCATCTTCCTTCTGCCGGTTTATTGGATTAAAGCTCCAATGATAAAGTGATTAATCAACGAGTTAGTTAACAGAAAATTATAGGTTGAACTATTAATGATAATCACGATTCTCTCACTCGTTGCACTTTACCGGACTGAACTGGAACGGACCTGTGTCCCACACAGCATCAATAACATGCTGACTTTTCCTCCACAGGAACTTACTGCCAACAGAGGGAAGTCGAAGCCATCACTGAAGGGGTGGAGGAAGATGAGGGCTGCTGCTGCTGCGAGCCAGGCCATCTCCCTCACATCCTATCCTTTAATGCTGCCTTTGGGCAGCGCTGGCTGGCGTGGGAGGTGCTGGTCACCAAATATGTTCTGGAGGGCTACAGCATCACTGATAACAGCGCTGCCTCCATGCTGCAGGTGTTCGATCTACGCCGCATCCTCACCACCTACTATGTCAAGGTTTGTGGGATGACACGAGAGAAGAATGTTTTAGTGCAGTGTGGGATTTCTAAAAGTTCTAAATGCATCATCCCTTTCTGTGCTCAGGGTATCATCTACTATGTAGTTGCTTCTCCTAAACTGGAGGAATGGCTGGCCAATGAGACCATGAAAGATGGCCTGCGGGGATGTGGAGAGAGGAACTATGTCGATCTGGATCCCACTTTCAATCCCAACATTGATGAGGACTATGACCACCGGCTTGCGGGCATCTCCAGGGACAGTTTCTGTGGTGTCTATCTGGGCTGGATCCAGTACTGCAACTCCCGAAGGGCCAAGGTAATAAGGCCTTCAATTCTGCTTGTGGAACAGTTATTGTCCCCCAAATTGCAGCAGGCTATTGGTCTTTTTTCCCCCCAGCTGTACAAGCAAAGCATATTTCATTGCATTGTCACAATAAATAAAAAAATATTCTAATAGCATGACAGTGGCAACTTAAGATCTTCAAAGACTTTAAATCCCTTGAGCAGTTTGATTTTAATCACTCTTTAAAAAGTCATTGCATCTTGTTACTGCCCAAAGGGGTCCTGTATTTGCGTCAGTTGTTGTCAGATGATATGGGGGGTTGTTTTTTTTTTTAAATAAAAAACTATGTGGGGGATCACAGAGACATGTTGAAAATATCTGTATTTGGAGATCAAAGCTGCCCTCTAAAATCTTTCATGTTTTGCTTGGATTGTAGCCACTGGACAGTGAGAAAGACTCACCTCTGGTGCTGCTCTGCTTTGGACTGTGCGTGCTGGGAAGGAGAGCTCTGGGAACTGCAGCCCATCATATGTCCAGGTTATTTAGTAATTGTTATTGTATTGTGAGTGAAGGAGTTCAAATGTGTCATGAACTGAGAGTAAACAGTAACAGGAGGTTGACTTGTTGTGACAATTGTTCCTGTAGTTTTCCTGTTTAGCTTTCAAAAGCACATCTTTCTAAGCATAAATAGCATTTATGCTATTTTCTCTCTGTCTGTGTGAGCCAGATAAAGAGTACCGACTAATCTTTTTTTTTTCCTTCTTCTTCTTCTTCTTCTTCTTCTTCTTTTCATCACAGCAATCTGGAGTCTTTCCTTTATGGACTTCATGCTCTTTTTAAAGGAGATTTTCGCATCTCTTCAGTGCGAGATGAGTGGATCTTTGCAGACATGGAACTGCTCAGGAAAGTTGTGGTGCCTGGTATCCGAATCTCTCTCAAACTACACCAGGTGAGACCCTGAATGTGGCCCCACTGAGCCCCCTACTGAGACAAAAACTGTCCTAAACCCTATACTCAACTTTATCTTCTCAACTTTTTTTTTTTCCCTCTCAGGACCACTTCACGTCCCCCGACGAGTACGATGAGCCAGCAGTTCTTTTCGAGGCCATCTCCTCTCACCAGCAGAACCTGGTCATCGCTCACGAAGGGGACCCTGCCTGGAGGAGTGCCGTTCTGTCAAACGCCCCGTCGCTCCTAGCTCTGCGCCACGTCCTGGACGAAGGAACCAACGAGTATAAAATTATAATGCTCAATAGGCGATACCTCAGCTTCCGGGTTATCAAGGTGGGTCTGCAACAGAGTCAACAGACTGCACAGAACGGTTTAATGATACTCACTCTAAGCCGGGTTATTTAATGCAAACTTGTGAATTTTGCTGCAGGTAAATAAAGAATGTGTCCGAGGACTTTGGGCAGGGCAGCAGCAGGAGTTAGTGTTCCTGAGAAATAGAAATCCAGAGCGTGGGAGCATCCAGAACGCCAAGCAGGCTCTGCGTAACATGATCAACTCTTCTTGCGACCAGCCTATTGGATATCCAATCTACGTATCCCCGCTGACAACCTCCTACTGCAACTCACACCCGCAGCTCGGACACATCCTGGGAGGTCCCATCAGCATCGGAAACATCCGCAACTTTATTGTCAGCACCTGGCACAGGTTTGCTGGATTTCCTATTGTGTTGTTCTTCTCTGTTGAGTATTTCTTCTGTATATTTTGGATCTGCGTTGAGATTAATGTGAAGATTTCTCTTGTCAGATTACGGAAAGGTTGTGGTGCAGGCTGTAATAGTGGCGGAAATATCGAGGATTCAGATGCAGGGGGTTTGTCCTGCGGCAGTGGGAATGGGACAGGTGGCGACTCTCAGCAGAGCTCAATATCTCAGGGGGGCACCTCAGGACCTCCCCCTCCTCACTCATACCAGCCACATACTCTGGGTGAGAACTACTGCTCCTCTGTCACATTTTGCCTTTAACAGCATAGTATGAAAACTAACCAATTCTCCCCTTTGTGTCCAGGCACCAGTCAAAGTTCCCAGTCGGTTCAGTCGGGTTTGGTGCGGCACTCTCCCGCCCGGGCCTCCGTGGCGAGCCATTCGTCATCATACCGCTATGGCAGCAGCCGCCACTCCTCGCTTCGCACCTCCACCACCGGCCTGGAGCCCTGTCGACGTTCCTCTACCAGCCAGCTGTCTCTACGCACGCTCCCTACATCTCTGCAGCTCCGGCTGGGCTCCACCTCTGATCCCGCTGGCCCTTCGGCCTCCCTCTCCAGCCACAGCATACCTCCCTGCAAACGCCACACACTGGTTGGCCTACTGGGCAATGATGGCCTCTGCAACACTGTGACAGACCCCCTCAGCCAGCACCATCACCATCATCAACACCTACAGCAACACAACCCCACTGTCTCCACAGTACGGAGAGATGACATCTCCTACAGAGTGCAGGTTTGTAAATACTCTGTTCTGTGTATCCACAACAGCAAAAAAAGTCCTGATATAACTATTTTTATTTTTTATTGTTCTCCACTTTATCCTTTGTGTGTTTGTTTGTGCGTGCAGTGTCAGTGATTTCTTTCTAGTAAAAGCCCTCAGTTCCTTTGTGGTTGCATAAGTTTTTACACACTGTCGGTCCGTGTCTTCACCTCAGGTTGTGGACGTGAGTCTGGTGCTGGAGAACATTAACTTATCGAAGCGGAAAGAGCTGCAGTGGCCAGACGAAACCATGAGACTGAGAGCAGGAAGGACCTGCTGGAGAGACTGGAGCCCTTTAGAGGGCATGGAAGGGCATGTAAGTGTGTTCTCACAGATGTTACCAAATCAGCACCTTTACTTATTTTCACACACAGATGAAGTAAACTCTAGGTCATGTAAATATGTGGCTATAGTTTGCCTCATACACTCATTTTACACACCCACTCACCTCTGGTGCTATAAATGTGATTTAGCAGTTATTATCATGCTTGCACATGACCTATTTTTTTGCCCTGTAACACCCTTTCTGACCTACTTGTTCTGTCATAAATGCTTCATAAATTTTATTGGATGTTTCTTCTATTGCCCCCTGCAGGTGATTCACCGGTGGGTGCCTTGTAGCCGAGACCCAGCCAATCGCTCCCATATAGACAAAACCATCCTGCTGGTACAGGTGGAAGATAAGCTAGTGCCCATTATTGAGACTGGGGTCATTGAGTTGGGTGCAGAGGTTTGAGGATAAGCAAGCACACAAACACAAACAGACACTTGCACGCACACATATACCCCTGCGCGCTTGCGTGGAGATGAAGTCAGACCTTCTTCTGGCTTTTAACAGGAGGCTGGAGACAAACAGGAAATGGGAGCTCTCCCCCCTCCCCCGTTCCTTACTGCTGAGGGGGAAAGGAAGCCAGGGAAATGTGCAAGCACAGGCAGAGTATACATTTATCCAATGCTTTCATCGACACTCACATCCACAATATCTGCCTTGCTTTGCGTCTCAGAAATGCTGCATGACAGTAAACAACTCTTAAGTTAGTTCTTGCTACTGGTAATTAATTTCTATGCATTTCCTTTTCTTTTTTTCTTTTGGAAATCCTGACAGAGCTGAGTGTAAGGAGCTCGTGGAGCTCTTTCTTCTTTCTTGTTTGTCCTCTATTTGCCAAATAAGTTTATTGAATATCTGCTATGGATTCATACATGTGAAATCCTTATGTTTTTTATTTTTTGTTTTTTGCTGCCAAGACTACAAAGAAAGTTGTGGTGCAGAACTGACAGAAGTCAGAGACTCGATGTTGTCCTCAACACCCTCTGTTTCATTGTTGTCATTCCGTTTGGATTAGTTTGAAATTTGCAAGATTAATTTACGCCTAAGAAAAAAAGAACTTGCACTATATATTTTTTTTTAATTTACAGTGATGGACTACAATCTTTAGATAAATTCACATTTTATTTATTACAGATTCTGAATGGCCATGGTTACAGATGCCTTGGGAATGGAAAGAAAAATGCAATCATTATTCTGTTTTTGGCCATTTTTATTTTAATATTTTATGTTTGATAAACTTGAAAATAACTTTTTACTGTATATGATTATATCTATATCTATATATATTTACACAAATATATATATATAATGTCAATGTATAAAAGATTTTGTTTTCAATATTTATTACTGTGAATACGGTATTTACACTTTGTTACATCTTTTTTTTTTTTCATTTTGGGACAAAGATTAATGTACAAAGGACCATTGGTTGAAAATGAGATGCCGCAATTTCAGTGGACTGTTTCTCTATTTAACTTAATTCTTTTCTATATGGAGAAATAAAAGTTTGATTTATTGCTGTCTTTGATACTCTGAATGATTTTATTCATGAGTTTATTTTCAAAAGAACAACCTAAACAACTTTATCATTAAAGTAGCTCTCTTCTGCTTTGCTAATTGTTCTGTGCCATGCAAAAGTTTCAACCCACCAATCATATCTTTTATATTTTGTTTCCAAGGAGACAGACTTTCTTTTTTCATTTTCAAGTTTTTCATTTGGACATTGGCTGCTTTTTCACTCTGTGAAACTCACTCATTATTTTCAGTCCAATCCTTGTTCTTGACCATTTTCAGATCAGTATTTTACATAAATCATTCAAGCATAAAAATGGCACCTAATTTAAAGGCTGAAACTAGTCTTGTTTACAAATAACGGACATCTTGACAAAGAACCAATTTTAAATTCTGTCTTTGTACGCTTTGAGACTGTCAGCCTGTCACAAAAGCAGATTTTGTTCCCATTTCTTTACCTGAATCTATGAAAATTGCCAAAGGAAATGCAGTTGGACAAAGATAAAATAGTGTTTTTGCACCAACAAGGTGATTTCCAAAAACCTGTTTGCTTACAATTAGCATATTTTATGGTGTGCAGTTCATTTTAAAAAAATCAAACAAAATTGCCAGCTCTTCCTTTACCTACAGTCTTAAAAAATATATTTGCAGCAGATGAACAGTGTCAGAAAGTGATGTCTTTAATAAATGGGGGGAGGGGGGGGGGGTTATCCAGCAAAGATCTAACACAGGCCCTGAGGGAGAGCTCTTCTGTTTATTCAGTTCACTGAAGCCTCATCAATAGAAGGATGGCTGTCAAGGAGCCATTCTTAAGGCACAGGCAGAAAAGGCTGTGGTATGCCAAATTAAACAAGAACTAAACTGAAAATCAGTGGGAACAGGTGCTGTGGAGCGATGTCATACACTGACATCCTTAGAGTCCAAACCTCAACATTACTGGAGCAGTGTGGTATCATCTAGGCAGCAACATCAAAAGAAGAGCTTTGAATTAATTCATTATATCAGTCCTGGCGTTCCATATTCAAGTTGCCTGGATAACTATTCCTGAATACTACTTATAAGAAATTACAATAAGAGAGCTCTGGTTGTTGAAGAACAAAGGTGGTCATAGGAAATATTTGAAGCTTGATAGAATTGTATGGGTTAAAATCATTCTTTCAGAAAGTTTTTTTTTCTTCTTCATTTGGATCTCTGATGTTAAAGAGCGGTGGTTTCACTAATTTGATAATGTTAAGGGCACCGCTTTAACTGTGAAAACAAGCCCACCTACCTGCTCTTCCAACCTTAATGACGGGCTGCAACAAGCCTGAGTCTAACATTATACCCCATATATGGAAAATATGGGGTAAAATTCCCACTTTTAAGCAGAAGCTGAGCAGTCATAATTGTGTCAGTAAGCATAAAATCAAACTTGTGATCAGCACGTGGATTGAATTTTATATTTATGGTTTTGCTGTAGTATATAAAAGGGTGATTAAAATGAAGTGAAAGAGATAGTAACCACAGAGAGAAAATACGACAAAGAAGTAGAGGTGATCATTCAAAAGGAAACACAAAATTACCTCAAAACCAAATTAAAATATAATAAAAAATAATAACAAAAACCGATGTCCAAGGAGATTATGGTGTTTTGAAATTACATCCAAAACATAAATGCATTTATACTTGTGTTATAGCCTTATAACATAATAGTGTCACATGACGGAGAGCTGTTACCTTACTCACATGATTAGCCCCGCCCCAGAGCACTCTGATTGGCTCCCGTAGAAGACGATGCCAACTGTTTTGCCCCTCGACATTAAATATAACTGGAGTGCCGCTGAGGATTTGAGTGTAGTCGGTTGTTGCCCCCTTCCTCGTCTAACAACGCAAAGAAAAGGTAATAAAATATGTTTTTGTCTTCCTTTAAAACTTCTAGGACTGAGCGGTGTGTCTTAATAGCTTTAACTCACTCCGAGTGTTTTTTTAAAAGTCCATGTTTTGCGAAGCTTGTTGTGCTACTGATGGCTAGTTAGCTTCCCAGAATTATCAGGTGAGACGTTTACGTGTTTGTTGCCACCTCGGTAAACATAGCTGAAATCTAGAAGAGGATCTGAATATTTTTCCCTACTGTCATCCATCCAGGAATCCCACAGAAAGCGAGGAGATGTGTCGGTCCGTCCTATTCGCCCTGCTTGGTCTGACAGCCGGACTCGTTATTGGGTTTCCCACCCAGGAAGAGGAAAACAGTGGCGGAAAACACTGGGTGCTTATTGTGGCTGGCTCCAACGGCTGGTACAACTACAGGCACCAGGTGAAACTGCGACCACCGTGCGAGCTGTGCATGACTCGATAGTTTTCTCTCATGGTTTTTGATAAGCACCGCTTTAAGCTCTGATAAGCTAACTTCCCCTCCCTAATGCATGTTTTCCAAGTGCTCCTCCCGCTGCTTAAAAGGCTGCATACTGTGATAATGTGGAACTGACCTCCGAATCTTTTGCTCTCCTGCTCGCTCAGGCCGATGCTTGCCATGCCTACCAGATTGTCCACAGGAATGGCATCCCCGACGAGCAGATTGTGGTCATGATGTACGATGATTTGGCTGAAAATGAACAGTGAGTTGGCACTTTTGTTTCTCTGCTTGTTCATACTTCTTCTTTCCTTAAAATGTTTGACACAAACTCATCCTAATTTTAGTAGCTGTTGACCTTAGTAGGCTATTAACTATTAGTTAGATATAGCACACAAAAACTCAATCTTAAGCCAGAAAAGGCTGTTTGTAGGCCCTGTTACATCTGACTCAAATTCAAGAGTCTCTGCTGTCATTATGCATCCATAACAAAAGTCTAGCTTTACTATCTCACATGCTGCATTACATTTACATAACAGATAAATATACTGACACGTGTATCTGCTGTGTTTGTGTATATATACATACAAATACACGTATACACAAGAATATTGTACGTTAGCACTGAATATGAGATATTATAAACTACTTGTATATAAATATGTGTAATGTATATATCTTAGGGTGGATTTGAAAAAATAGGATAATGCACTTTACATGAGTTACTAAATATATAACGTATAAATGTATCCATATATTCCTGAGGAGCATAAACATGTGGAATTGAGCAGGAGAATATATCACAGTAGGGTTATAAAGTCATTTGACAGCTATGTTCAGCAAGAAGCCTGAAATAATCTTCAAGTCTCTGTGTGAGGATAGCTTTGAAGCACCTTCAGAGTCTTTGTGGATTTCCCCTTCACTCTTTGCACAGTGAGTAGGCTAAAGATGAGCCGGAGATTGTGAGGATGCATCTATAGAAGTTGTTAAGCAGGTTTTTGGAGGAGTCTGGCTTAGGAAAGGCACTCTGTGATGGTGACTCCTAGGAACCTAAAGCTGGAGACTTTCCCCAGCTCTCTATGGTGTCAAACTGTGAATCTCCTCCCTGTAAAGACCGACTAACACTGTTTCATCAGGATCACAAAAGACAAAGACAAAAAGTAACTGCTGACAATCCAGTTGTTTGCTAAAATACCTTAAATGGCCTTCAGCTTTGGTGACTGACTGACATAAACAAACAAATCAGAGCAACCATTGTAGACACTGAACAACAGGATTTGTTTTTTAATGAATGAATTCTTGATGTTTAAAAATGCTCAGAAGATTAAATTACTCTTGGATCTACTTTTTCAAAAAATAAAAATAGTTGTGTTGTCAGTCATTACTTTTTTGTCTTTGTCTTTTTTGATTCTGATGGAACATCTTTAGTCTATCTCATGGAAAACTAACAGTCTGCTGGCATCATCTTTGGAGATAGTGGTGGGTTTCAGGGTTTTTGCAGGAATTTCCCAATCAGATCAAAAAGCTGCATTGGCATTCCTCCTGTCACTGTGTTGCAGGGCCCTGCATCGCTCAGAAAAACATGTTGAGTGAATGAGTCGTGCTGAGAGGAGTCACGAGGAAGGTGCTTCCATAGAAATAGTCTCGGAGTTATGTTACTGGCAGAGGAGGGGTAATGTAAGGAGATGTGTTGGTTGCGGGAATCACAATGGCAGTTACATAGTGGGACGCGATGTAAAACCCAGCTTTAGCAGTGATTTGATAGAGTTGGCCTGTGCTACTTAAATTTCAGTTAGCTGTTACTTTAATTAGAGATACTTTAATATATTAGCAGCTGTTTACAACAAAGACTTTTCACTGTGTTTTGCTTGAAGTTTACCGGGCAGTCAATCGAGTCATTCTTTCAGGTTCATTTCAGACATTTAGTAAAGTTTTTGATAGAACTTTCTGATAAAATGGGAGACATATGTTCCTTATTTTTTTTGGTTATTTTGGATCATAACCCATGTGTAGACATGTTTATTCAAGTTGACAGGCACGATGCACGCTGAGTAATGCTGTTATTGTTAACTGTTCCCACACCTTAAAATGTTCCATGAATGTCAGTCTGCTTTGTTTTTTGAGAGTTTGAGAGACATTATGCAATATGGGATTTAAAAAAAAAAAAAAAAAAAAAAAAATTTAATATCCGTGTCACGCGCTTGTATCACTGCCATTGTAATCACAGACTGAGCATCTGATTAATAAATATCTAGCTACAGAATTGTAAAAAAGAAACACAAACTGTACGTATCTGTGCGCAGATATGTATACCATAACATTTCACTATAAATGTTATTCATTGATTTATTTTAACATCTGTGGTGTCATATTGTTTTGTGGCTCTGTCACCAGATGAGTGAATCATTGTTATCCATCTGTTTCCCTTTTATCTCACAAAGTGTTTTATCAGCTATTTGCACTTCCTTCTGTGTGTCTGAATCATGTTTTTCTTCCAGGAATCCTACCCCTGGGATACTGATCAATAGACCAAATGGCAGTGATGTGTACAAGGGAGTTCCTAAAGACTACATCGGGGAAGTGAGTGCTTCAGTGCATTTCTATAAAAGATCAACTGATTTCAATATTTTCCAGATGATTGTTTGAAGAGGCTTCTCTGCTGAAAGCAAACTTTGTGGGTTGATGTGTCTGTTATTGCAGGATGTTACCCCAGAAAACTTCCTGGCAGTGTTGAAGGGTGATGCCTCAAAAGTCAAAGGTGGCTCTGGAAAAGTGCTGAAGAGGTAAGTGGTTAAAAAAGACAGGAAGTAACGAGCGCGTGGCCAAACAACAATAAATCTGGTTTGTCCCTGTTAACTTTGTTCTCATTTTCCTGGCAGTGGACCCAATGATCATGTGTTTGTTTACTTCACCGATCACGGAGCACCTGGTATTCTGGCATTTCCCGCCGATGAGGTGAGTACCTTTTTGTTTTTTTTAACTTCCTGGCACTGCAACAACCACAGACAGGTTACACCAGATTCACAAAGAGCCTTATTGCTTCACAATCACTTTGATATGTCTGGGTTGGGTTTTTTTTGTTTTTTGCAATTTGGTGAAATATCTAATTATTAGATGGAATATTATGAAAAGATAGCAGTCGCCGCATTGAGGTCAAACACAAATGGTTAACACAATTTGAACATTAACATTATCATTGCAATCAGCATTGTTAGTGTTTAACTTGTCAAACCAGGAAGACATCCTCACCAAGTAAACTAACCGTGTTTTGGGACCTTACATATCTCCTAATTTGCTGATAAATCAGTTTTTATGTTTGCAGTGCATGCCATCACGGTGCTCTAAGAAACACTAGTGTATAATTGTGGTTAATGCAAATTTGTCACCTCTCTGTCTGCAGCTCCATGTTGAAGACCTTCAAGCAGCCATTACATACATGCACGACAACAAGAAATACAAAAAGGTGATGTTTGATATGTACCGTACAAGTGTGGGCACGTCCCGCAGTCTAAAATTCAGTTGATAAAGTGTTGATGTAGCTGTGCTGATGTGTAAGGTCATAACATTTGTGTTTGGTCCACACACACACACACATAGATGGTGTTCTACATTGAAGCATGTGAGTCGGGGTCAATGATGAACCACCTGCCTACTGACGTTGATGGTGAGTTGAACTTTATCAGCAGAATTACTTTCCTGTAAAAAAAAAAAAAAAAATGATGAACCAGCATCAAGTGATGAGAGCGAAACTGATGCTGGTCTATGCTTTTGATGGGATCAGACTAGGATCATGTGATTTTTATTTTTCATGTTTTAATTTTTTTTTTTTTTTTTTTTTTTTTTTAAATCAGCCCTGCGTTACGCTACGTGTTATGTTGACTAGACAGATGTCAGGTCCGTGGTTTGAGGACTTCTGCTTTTGACTTTTAGTCTTTTGTAAGAATCCATTAAATGCTGAGGTCAGCTGCCCAGCTTGTGGTCATCTTTAAGCACAGTTACTGTGTCGGACATCAAGTGATAAACAGAACCGGACCTGCACATGACATTGATCAAGATTCTTCTTTGATTGTTTTCAATTAATGTCTGTTTTTGATGTGTCCAAGTGTAAAGCAGTTACTGAAATTTGTGTTTAGATCTTCAGTTACAACCTTCAAATTTTTCTGAGGCTGTTGAACAGATTAGCGAGCGACCTTTAGATCTGCCTAGTGTAAAACTAAAGTCTCCTAACATGAGAATCTCTGTGTATTCTTCAGTGTATGCCACCACAGCAGCCAACGCTGAGGAGTCCTCTTATGCCTGCTACTATGATGAGAAACGGGACACCTACCTGGGTGACTGGTACAGCGTGAATTGGATGGAGGACTCTGATGTGGTGTGTGATTATCTTCCTCATTTGTGTCCAAATCACAGCTTCTAATATTTATTCATTTTTGAAAAATATTTTAAAAAGAAAAATGTAATTGTTGTCTGTTATATTGTGACTCTGAACTTCAGAGTATCTTGTGTGGTGGCTTTAACACATCTTATAATGTTTAGACTTCAGGCTGCAGGGAGAGGTGCACATCGGATTATGGTGTAGATGTAGATTTAATCCAGAAACATGAATCCACTGAGAGAATGAAAAAGGAAGAAACGGTTAACGTCTAAGATTGGCAGGAAAAGGAAGTGATAAACGTCTCCAAACGTAGCAGCAGAACTTTTGTCTTTAACCAGCCCCGAGTACTTTGCATAAGTGCGTAACAGTAGAACAGAAACCTGACCATGAGACAGTCAAACTGCCACACATTATTTTACGGAACGAATTCACTGACTCTTCATGTGACTGTTATTTTGGAAGCATTTTATCACATTCACTTTTTTTTTTCTGTCTTTGTGCATCCAGGAGGATCTGAGAAAAGAAACATTGCTACAGCAGTTTAAGATTGTGAAGAACCACACAGACACGAGCCACGTCCAGCAGTACGGAAACAAGGTTAGAGCAAGAAGGCTGTGCAAACTGTGAACGAAATGCTTCAATGAGCACTTGTCAGTTCTAGACTAAAGAAATTTGAGGGGGAAGTAGTGTTTCGTTTAAAGTTGGAATGACTTGCAGAATGTGTTCATGTATGTGAGTGAAAAAAAAACAAAGTTTGTTTCCTCCTTCTATTTTAACGCTTGTACATCTTTCTCTACAGACTTTGGCCCACATGAAAGTTATACAGTTTCAGGGTAATCACAAAGCAGACAGTCCAGCTCCGATGAACCTGCCACCAATTACAAACCTGGATCTGACCCCGAGCCCTGACGTTCCTCTGGCCATCCTGAAGAGGAAGATGATGGCCTCCAATGACATCAGTGTGGCACGGGGCTTGCTCATGGAGATCAGTGCCCACCTCAAGGTAAAGACTGACAAAGCTTTCTAATGTTTGTGGCAGTGTGCCAGTACACTGAAAATCCATTTGATGACAATTTACCATTAAAGAGTGTGTGAACCTTTGTCTGTGTAGCTCAGGGACATTATGGCCGACACTATGCGCAAAGTGGTCGAGAGAGTCGTCGGCAATACGTTCAAAGCCAATGACATGGTAAACAGCAGAGCTGACCTCTCCCAGCATCAGTGCTACAAGGCGGCAGTGAAGCACTTCAAACACAACTGCTTCAACTGGAGCAAACCTGAGGTAGAGCCACACACTATGAGTCTTTCAGCTCCTTTTTAACAGACCCGAGACATCCCATTGCAGTTTACAGAGTGTCTGTGATTCATATAAAGCCATTAATAAATGAGTCACCATTGTGGCCACATTTCAAGCTTACAGTAGAATTTCGCTCTCATGCCTGGACTCTGGTTCTCCTTGTAAAGGGGAAGTGCCAAATCAGTTTCACATGCTATTCATCAGCAGGTATCATACTCTCATTCATCAGCTCTTTTGCATTCAGCTGACTCTAATCCAGACACTCTGAGAATAAGCTTGAACTCCCACTCACAGTTCTATGAAAGCCATATTAAAAGCATCACACAGTAAGCATATTGCCCACTGTGATCTCTGATTATTTAGGTTCAGGATAAAGGAAAATGGAGGAAAAAATATATAAATAATAAGGTAAATTAAAAGTAATATCACTCAATAAAGTAATAAATGATGAAAGAAAATCACATGACTAAGATATTGGATTGACTTGCTGAATAATACTGAGAAATATGTTAATTACGTGTAAAAAAAATCAGTATTAGTTGGATTTTTAAAACAGAATTGAGCAGTAAATGTTGTTTCTCTGTTCATCGTGGTTGTCACACCATCTGGCAGTGAATGATCAGAAATACTTCAATTCAATTCAGTTTAATTTATGTATTGCCAAATCCCAACAGCATTTGCCTCAAGGCGCTTATTATAAGGGAAAGACGTCACCAGAATACAAAGTTACAATCAGTAACTTCCGTAACACTAATTGTCATCTCAGTGACTGGGAAAGCCCTTAATCACATGATTTAAACTCAGTATTTTCCCCAGGTGCTTTCATGCAGCTGTGTGCTTTTATTCTGAAAATCTTCTTTTGTTTTCTCTGGACAGTTTCTGATGTTTCTGACGTAGAGCCACACACTATGAGTCTTTCAGCTCCTTTTTAACAGACCCGGGACATCCCATTGCAGTTTACAAAGTGTCTGTGATTCATATAAAGCCATTAATAAATGAGTCACCATTGTGGCCACATTTCAAGCTTATAGTAGAATTTCGTTCTCATGCCTGGACTCTGGTTCTCCTTGTAAAGGGGAAGTGCCAGACCAGTTTCACATGCTATTCATCAGCAGGTATCGTACTCGCATTCATCTGCTCTTTTGCATTCAGCTGACTCTAATCCAGACACTCTGAGAATAAGCTTGAACTCCCACTCACAGTTCTATGAAAGCCATGTTAAAAGCTTCACACAGTAAGCATATTGCCCACTGTGATCTCTGATTATTTAGGTTCAGGATAAGGGTAAATGGAGGAAAAAATATATAAATAATAAGGTAAATTAAAAGTAATATCACTCGATAAAGTAATAAATAATGAAAGAAAGAATAATACTGAGAAATATGTTAATTACATGTAAAAAAAAATTAGTATTAATTGGATTTTTAAAACAGAATTGAACTTGTTGAATTGAAATTGTTTCTCTGTTCATCGTGGTTGTCACACCATCTGGCAGTGAATGATCAGAAATACTTCAATTCAGTTTAATTTATGTATCGGTAACTTCCGTAACACTAATTGTCATCTCAGTGACTGGGAAAGCCCTTAATCACATGATTTAAACTCAGTATTTTCCCAGGTGCTTTCATGCAGCTGTGTGCTTTTATTCTGAAAATCTTCTTTTGTTTTCTCTGGACAGTTTCTGACGTTTAAGGGCATTAGATAAAAAAAGAAAAAAAGAGGAAGCTGGTGAACATTTGAAGATTCGTGTAAAACACAGCTTGTGGTGACGTTTCTGACGTGTGACGATTTGATTTCTTTGCAGTACGAATACGCACTCAGACATCTGTATGCGCTGGTGAACCTTTGTGAGGGAGGATATCCTGCAGAGAGGTATAGACCACTTCTCATTTAATGTAACGAGTTACCTGAGTTTCTGTTGTCTTTGGGGTTTTTTTCTCTGTAATTCAGTGTCAGTCATCTGATTAGGTGTGTGTGTGTGTGTGTGTGTGTGTGTGTGTGTGTGTGTGTGTGTGTGTGTGTGTGTGTGTGTGTGCGCACACAGTATGTGGATTCAAGCTGATCTTAACTCAG